TTAATTTTTGTTTTTAATCACTTTTCTTTAACATCAACAACACCAGCGCCCTAATTATTTATGTTTACTTTAATCATATTATGCAGCGCATGAACTTTTCACTTTTCTATAGCTATATCGTTATTTTTTGCAAGTAATTTTTAAATATTTCCAGCGGCGCGCACAAGCGTTTATGCAGCAACTTACAAAAAAAAATCCAACATTATTGCCGTACAAGAATTTTAATTGTTTTGCGCTTTTAACCACAACACTTAGTTGAATGTTTCACTCATTATCAACATACATTTAAATATAGGTATGTACGATACATATGACCATCACTAATTCTATACGATTGCCGTAGGTAGCACAATTCTAAAGCACGCCCGCAGACTTTTGAAAGGAAAAGTTATGAAATATAAATATCATTAACACAGCGCTGAGGAAAAAATGTAAAAATAAACTAAATCAGCTAGCCAGCCAGCTATGTAGCCTTTCATTTGGCTACGTAACTGGATGGTACGCACGCTTGCTTAGCTACCAAGAGTCAAATTAAAAGTCAATGCCTCAGCGCCGTCGGTTTGTCAGTTGCTGCGATGGGGGTGTAGGCTGAATGATGACCTCGCCGACCAGCTGACTGTGCTATGATCACCAACGCTCTCAACAGCGCTAACGTTGCCGCAATGATAATGCACACTATGCGCGCTACTATCACAAAAGTCATGAGCACCAACAAATTTGTTGTGTGTGTGATTAGAGCTGGAAGCAAGTTAGTTATAATACAAACACTATTTTTCTTTAATTTGTCATTAATTTTCCCGTCACTTATTTAATTTTCTTTTTTTTTATTATAAACTTAAAATTCTTTTTTAATCAACATTTTTTAAATGCAAAGTGAAAGCGATTTGTGACACAATAAATATTTTACTTAATAATTCTATACTTCAATTCACTTCACTTTGCATTGTTCTATTTGACATTCATATTGATATGCCCGACACGTTGTTATTAATTTGTTGTAATTACTTTATTTTCTTTTTGTTTTTGTCTTTTTTTATGCACCAGACAATTTACGCTTAATAAATTATTTGATCAATTTAATCTCAAGTATCAAACATCTGACGACGAGACAAGAACAAATGCGCGAAGATAACAAGAATAAAATATAGACGACTGAGCACCATGCAAAACAGAACGAGAATGAACCAAAACCGAATTTATTTCATTTTGTATTGTAGGCGCATTAAATTCGCCTCTAATTCCTCTTGTTTTGATTACGTACTTTATTTGCATGTGTTCTTTTGACATTTCTTCGCTCAGCTGTCAGCAACAGTGTTGCCAACACTCGAGTTGAAGCATTAATTGAAAGGGAAATAGTTTTATTGTGAATGATTAGAAATGTGGTTTTAATTGGCATTTATAAGGGGTGTAGGGAGATACAAGTACACTGTGAAAAAAGTATTACAAATACAAAAAATTAAATAAATAAATAGCAGCTAATTTACAGTCCTGGACATTTTGTATTCGTCTGCTGTAAAGTAGTAAGTAAATGGTCTCCAATTTTATAAGCTTTTCCCTACGTAAACTGCATCTCTGCGTTAATGTATCCAGATTTAACACCTATTTTTAGTGCATCAAAAGTTGAGCATAGTAATTTATTGTAATTAAATTGCAACTGGCGGCCGCGGTAGCGGAGTGGTTAGCATTGCGTGCTGACATTGGGAAAGCTCCTTCATATCCCTTTGACACCAACATTCAATAGTTGTGGAAAATTGTTTAAAAAAAAATTAAGTTAAGTTTCTATGTCGGTTTCTTTTATCGGTTGTCAAAATTTAACTCTACGCTTAAAACTGGAATATAGCCACAAATGACAACCGAAAAGGGTTAACGGAATCGATCCGGTTTGAGATCCCAGCTGTGAGCTCAAACCGGAAACAGACGCTACGTTTTCCTACATTGGAGACTGTCCGATGCTAAGCAAAATGTATAATACAATTAATTATCGAAATGAGCTTATATTTGCTTGCCAGATATTTTCAAACACTGGAAAGTGTAAAGAAAGAGTAATTTTAAACTTCACAAAAGTCAAAAATTTCGAATCACCCTTTGACCCATCGCTACTTGATCGGTATTTGACCCACTGGATTCCTTGCTGTAGTGATATAGGTTAAACTTAGTATTGTATTGCACAGTGTTTTTTGTTTGAAAGCAGAATATCCGTGTTATAAATATGTGTGTACATATATGCGAACGTCACTTCTATGGCTACAAAGCGCCAATTATTTTAATATTTTTTTTTTTAATTTTAATTTTTTAATTTTTAACTCAATGACGATACGATAATAACTTACGAAAATTAAACATTATAATATATTGGTACGAATTTCAAACACACTTTCTCTATCGACCGTTAAATCAGTGACAGTTTAGTTAAATCCGCTCGAAAAAGTCATAATCGCAAAGTTTTCGTTTTGTTGTTTGTTTGACTACACTTTTCCCAAGCTAAAATAATCGTGCCAGAAGGCGAATATAAATTTCTAGCGACCGCTCACTTTTAACACACGAAAGGAACTGTCTCGAATTGGATCACATAAGCAGCGAGAAACTCCGGCTGCATCAAAGTTTTACGTTTTCCTACCTACAACAAAAAACTGACTGCGCGTAGTGCGCAAGCTCAACAATTAATATTCGCCGCAAGGATATTACTTTGCAAACTCTAGTTGAGAATATTCAAAAAAAAAAAAAATAGAAATTTTGGTAAATACGCAAATTTTGCTTTAAAACGAGGAAATATATGTAAATGCATTACTTGAATATGTAACAAATAAATAAGTAAATAAATATACATACGTACATATGTACATATGCATATCATACTTTGATTATCCTTTGGTACAAGCATATGCAAGTGCATAATCGTGTGTGTGTGTGTGTGTGTGTGTGTGTGTATGTATGCAACTACTGTTTGTAATATAAACAGTAAACATGTTTTGAGCACATGACAACCCGAAAACACGTGCTCTCCAATTCCATTTCGTTGCGCCGTTTCAATTGGGGCATGTTGCTCCAATTCAGCGCGCCTCATGGCACACGAACACACCATCGTGTGTGTGTTTGGAGTCTTAATTTTGTAACGCCGATGTTCGAGTTGTTGCGCATACTATAAAAATATAAACATACAAATATACAGTTACATATATACATACATGCATATGTAAGTACGTGAGTGTGTTCATAGTGCTCTTATTTTTCGTGTGCCTTAGCCGTGGTGCTCCTTTGCCTTCCATGACCTAACTCAATATGAGCCAGAACACAAGCACATGCAAATTTCTGATATGATATGGATGTGCATACGTATGTATACACATACATATGTTCATAAGTACATATGCATATTTTTATCTGCACTGCAAATGACTTCCCTCAACCGCAACCCTTCAAAGCCTGCCGCTAGAAACTCCTCAATAACCGCTGGCTTTTTAAGTGTGCGAGCAATCGATTTGAAATTGCATAAGCTCCAAATACTCGTAAAGGCTGGTGGTTAAAACGTTTTAGACATTAAAAACATGTCTACTTAACATGACAAGGTGCCTGCACTTGTATACGTATGGTTGGACTTTCAAGTATGGCGCCAAATATGCTTGGCTACATACATATGCACATACATATGTACATATGTGAATACTTCAGCTTGTTCATGCACGCTTCCATAGTAGGCAGTTGTTTTTTTTTTTGGTTGTTCACTTTCAGTATGTGCTCTAGTTTATATGACGTCACTACCGCTGGAAAAAATCACCTATGACAAGGTCACAGTTTTCTGTGAATTTCGGCATTTGCAAGAATGCAAATATGAACATACATACATATATAAGTAGATTCTTCCTCATTTTTAATGTCTAGTTTGGAGGTTATGTATGTTTTACCAAGACACATATGTATCTACAGAAGGATTTTTTGTAACTGGACAACACCAAATGTAGGTAGAGGGAGGCCTCCTTTATGAAATCAGTTTAAATTTTTTAACGCGAATAGTGATTAGACAGTTAGCCGAATGTACGATAGCTCCAACTCCATTAAAGCAGATATCAAAAGCCTCAGTTTTCTTTCGTCCTTGTGTCAATTATAATTTTTTTGCTACTTTCCTCAACTCATAGCCTTTTGAACCATAAAAATCGCAAGCGCACCTTCAAAACTTTCTTCGTTTTTTCTTTATTTTTTTTTGTCGTTTCAGTCATGTTTCTTCATTGTTCGGTGACGATGGGTGACACGAAGTGAAGCCAGAACCTTCCCACACTTCCACGACGTAAAGAAGGATGGTGAAGGATTTGTAGAGTTTATTTTTTTTTGTCGGGAGATAACTGCTCAGTTCAAAGTAGCACATATCGGCAAAAGTGATTCTGAGTTGGATTTTCATGCTGACAACAGTGACGTGGAAGTGAGAGCCCGATTACGTTGACGCTGACTGTTTGCTTAATGACATGCGGAAGCAAAATTTACGGTATTTGATGTTAACGATATCAAAATCATCGGCAGGCGCTAGTAGTTGTACACTTTACGCTTATTATTTTCTCTAGCATTAGTTTGAAGAAGTCGCACTAAAGATAGTCATCTTGTTTGAAACCTTGTTCAGTACGACCCGAACGGCTCGGAGAGGTACTTCCCAATTCTGATAGAGCTTTTAATGTTGCCTACCATCAACCTCAGAAGTGGCGAGATAGAAGCAGCTCATTTTAATGTTGTTAAATGCTGATTCAAAATCGACGGAGAGGGATGGGTGTTCATCAATTTATGTACGTATATATGTACATATATACACATCTGAACCCACAATGATAATGGAGAACCAGTTTGCAGATAGCGAGCTTTAGTATTTCAAAAAATTCGCTCCAAATGATTTTGACTGGAGGATACTTATATAACGATAATTGCCGCAGATTATGGAATCATCCAGATTACACTCAGAGCAGAACCGTCCAGAGATGTTTTCCACCAATCACAGGACTGTCGCTTTGGATACAACTCTCTCAATCAAAATGAAATACGTAGTTTGATGAAGTTCTGGTGTAACGAGCAAGCCTCAGGTAAACATTCACCTGCGATTATAATTTCATCATTGGCGGCAATGTTTGGATTATGAAACAGTGTTGTCAACTTCTGAAGTTCTTTTAAATTCCCTTTCTCAAGTGCTTGTCCATTGTGAATGTGCTCTTTATTGTGTATAGAAGAAGAGTTCACAAATAATTTTAAACAGCATCAAAAAATCGATATAGCAGAACGAAAGAAATCCTTGATGTGAAGAAAACACCCATTTAACGCGCGTAGGTAGTGCACAAAAATGTCGGACGAGGAAGAAGAATCCATATCAGAGGGTTTCTCTGCCAGTGAAGATGAATGGAAGCCAACTAAAGATGTACGTGGTGGAGAATCATCCGATGATGACGATAGTGATTTCGAAGAAGCACGCCTAAGTGCAGGCGCGCTAAGTGTTGGCGGTGCTGGTGCCGCAGCAAGAAGAAAGTAAGCTTTATAATTCTTTGTGTACATATTTATATTATACATATTTTAATAACTCTTTAACAGAGGAGCTACGGTAAAAGGTTCTGTAAAGCAAACTGGCATTAAAAAACGTAAGGGCGCTGGGCAATCATTGCGCACCAAACTCTACAACAAATATCGGCCACCACCGAAAACATTTCCATCACCCAGCAGCGCAGGTAGTAATTCACCATCTGCCTCAACATCACGAACGGCTTCAAAAAACGCCAAAATGCCCAATGAAAGTGGCGAACCTGGCAGCGACTCCAGCAGCGAATCGAGCGTCGAAGATTATCTTGTAAATCCTGCAGATTTAGATTTACAATCGAGTTTCTTCAATGTGCAACGTCAAGATAAAACAAAACCGACTTCACCGCCACCACCGCCCGTTTTCGACTGTAATGCCGGTATTACCAAACTCTCTGACTCGGGATCAGACGATAACAACGAATCGAGTGTAGAAGAGCAAGCAAATGAAAAATCATTTGATTTTGCCAATTTATTGGATAATGTCAATAGTCTGGAGCGTGCCAAGGAGACCATAGCAAAACGTGCAATTGAAACGAAAAAGCATGAAACCAACAACACAACAGTTGAAAAATTGAATGCAACAGCTATGGATGTAAACTCGTTACTTGCATTGGGCGAACAAAAAAGTAATACTGCAATACGCAGTGTAAAATCGAAAGATGATGGAGAGGAGGAGGATGATGAAGGTGAAACTGAACGTGTACCGCTTAGGCTAAGTAAAACCAAGTCGACACGCGTTAAAAGGCATACAAGAACGCGTCCAGCATCAACTGTTGTTGCCGGAGATACTGATGATTCAGATTTTGAGGAAGTAGCAGGTAGGAAACGCAAATAGTGGACACTGACTGTGAGTGGTAGTATGCTACTAATGTAATGTCTAAAATGCGCTTCCAATTGTTCAAATGAGACTGTGTGTGTATAGGTTTGTGCGTTTGTGTTATACGTTCATCATTTAGTTTAAAATTTTAACAACATAAATGGTTTATATAATCGTATATCTACTTCAAATAGTGCATTCGGCGTACTTATATATATATTTATATATAAATAAAAGTTGCATTAAATAGTAAGATTAATAGTGGGGAACTATGCTTCCAGTAAATAGTTGCTTTTAATACTAAAAATACTAAACTTAACGCAAACGCTTTTTAAGCTTTTAATTTGATTTTTAAGACGTGCGATCTCAAATAAGGTGGTGTTAAAAATTTCATTATGGGAGATTTTCTTTTGTGTCTAATCTATTTTCAGTTGAATAGACTTCACTTCATTATTATCTATCGAACAGTTTGGCTATTTAACAAAAAATATGTATTTTTTTATTTAACTAAATTTTATTTTCGTAGTACATAAAGCATTATTTATTTCCTGCTTTCCTTATATAATGCTTATTTGCCAAATTCTTGAATAATAGCAAAATTAAAAGATTTACAATACCCGTGTACCTAAACCACTACTGTATGTATCTGTCTTGGTGCTGGTGAGAAGGCATGATTAAATATTGTCAACAAAGTGATTTTGGAAAAAAAATATATAAAAAATAATTATGTATATGAAATAATATGTGAAAAGTAAAGTATTGTAGCTAGTAAAGCAATTAAGAGATTCGATTCCATATTAATGTAGTTAGAATTGTTCTTACAATAATATTCAATGTGTGGCGAGTGGTGAAATTCAAGAAAAACAATTACAAACAATAATACCTACACACATGAAAAAACACCGTTTAATTTTAGATAACAGTTCTCATCATTTGCAATTTGAAGCGATTATATACTTACGTGTATGTATTAGTGTTTAGACTCATATATTGCATTGTATTTAGATATAACGATATACATACATATACGTACTTACAGACATAGTTAATGGGTTAATGGTTTCTAAGTGACTGAGGAGGAACCGTATTAACTCTATTATTATAAAACAAAAATTTAATTAACATAAATTCGTCGTGTTTCATACATACATACATACATATATCCATATACATTCATACACGCATAGCACATAACACAAATATAACTAACTTCCTATTTACAATTACGATAAGTAAAAAACAAAAAAAAAAAAAAAAAAAAAAAAAAAAAAAAAAAAAAAAAAAAAAAAAAATAACTGCACGTCATATACATACATATATGTAGGTATATTTTAAATTTCACTAAACCGTAAAAACTATTTTTTGTGTCTATAAACGTTATCATATTTACATATACATATACATAAGTATTAACTATGTGTGTTTACAAATACAAATTATTTATAAAATTATTAAAAAAATAACAGGGATAATGTTGGTTCTACTTTGTTGTTTGAAAATTTAATATTTTAATGATTATATTCAATCAAAGGCGGTAGTATAATTATCTTTGATTCGTTTATTTTTTTAATTTTTTTTTGTATTTTTTGAAATATGCATCAAACAGTTTAAGTTAAAAATTACTTAGTAAAGGGTGATTTTTTAAGAGCTACAGGAAAGTTTCTCAAAAAAAAAAGACACATGAAATTCAGAAAAATGCATAAAATCTTTATTTGTATCGATAATACGGACCATATAATTTAATGTTTGAAGATCATATCATGCAAATGTTGACCGTGACTGCGCCCCAAATGGTCCATCCCCTTAGTGCCATTTTGGCATACTCTTTCCAACATTTCGGCCGGTATCTAACTAATAATCGCTTCAATGTTGTCCTCCAATGCGTCAATTGAAGCGGCTTTTCTGTATAGACATTAGATTTAACATAGCCCCACGAAAAATAGTCTAAATCGCACGATCTAGGCGGCCAATTGACCGGTTCCGAACGTGAAATAAAATGTTCGTCGAACTCGCCTCTCAATAAGTCCATTGTTTCGCGTGCTGTGTGGCATGTGCCACCGTCTTGTTGAAACCACGTGTCCTGCAAGTAAAGCTCTTGCATTTTTTGCAAAAAAAAAGTTTGATATCGTCTCACGGTAGCGCTCACCACTTACGATTCGCATCATCTTTAAAGAAGTATGGTCCAATGATGCCACCAACCCATTAACCGCACCAAACTGACTTTTTCTGGCTGCACTGGTAGCTCTTGCAATGATACTGGCTGATCTTCACTTCAAAATCGACAATTGCTGTGCTTATTTACGCACCCATTAAGCCAAAAATGAGTTCCTTAGCTGAATACAATTTTTTTTATTAACTTTCTTACGGAGCACTCATTTTAATAATAAAATTTAATAATTTGTAAGCGTTGTTCGTTTGTAAGACGATTCATCGTTAAATCAAAAATGACTAGATACGAAACTTACTCAAAATCACTCAAATTGCAGCTGAGAGCGTTCCCCCATCTCACATTCTAATGTTGGCAGCAGTGTCAGATCGGTGAACATTCAACATCTGATGTGCAAAACGCACCAGTTAACACCAAGTTAACAAAACTTTACTGCTTTTAGCGCCAAGTCAAATTCATTGAACGCCCGAGAAGTTTATTTGCTAAATTTTTGTCCGATATTTTTTGAGCTCGTTTTGTTTACAACGATTTTTTTTCATAATTTCAATGCTTTATTTTAACAATTTTATTTTATTATAATTTTTTGAATACTTAATACTTCAGACAATTGTCGTGGTGATTTAAATTAAAATTAAATTTAAATTTAAATTGACTCCAAATTTCTCCTTTTTGCCCATTAAGTGTGAGAATTTTATATACAAATCGGTAAAAAAAATCGCTATTTTAACTAAATTACTTATTACTTATTAAGCATTTAAAAATCACATATAAATTCATGAATTAACTCGAACTGATTGTTAACGAATTTACTTTAACTCATGTATTCAAAAAAATCAAAAAAAAAAAATGAAAAAATAAGTATTATATTTGTTGTAAAAAAGCGCATGAAAATTCACAGATAAAAATATTAAGTATTAAAAAAATGACTAAAATTATGCTATCAAATAAATATTTAAAAGAGCGGCAAGAAATATATAAATAAATATTAATAAAAAAAAATTAATTAATTGTTTTAACTATTAGCGCAAATGTAGTTACTACATACATACATACATAAATATGTACATGCGAACATACAAACATTAGTATGTACTTCTCAATTAACCGTTAAATAATGAATGTAGTTAAAAAATTAAAAAAAAATTAATAACTGAAGCAAAAAAAAAAAAAACAAACAGAAATTATTTGAATTTTAAGCCGCACAATACACTTACAACACCAGAACACACATGCTCACACACAAATACATACACGCACGTTTAAGTGGTAAATAAAAAATGCATTGAAAAAAGTATTGAAATAATGGTGTATTCATTTTAAAACATTTAATTTGAGGTTAGGAAAAAAGCTGCCGTTAGATTTAAAATCAATTTCAATTAGACGTGCTTTTAAGGTTATTTCCATTTGGTGTGGGTGAATATGAGTTTAAACCAAAATAATACTGTAAAAATATGTAAACTAAATTTTCGAGCTTAAACTGGTCGGTGCTGGGTTGGTATACGTGTACATACGCTGTATTTAAGTAAACATTAGTATGCTTTTCACCTGTAGTTACTTGTCCTGCCTTCGTATGTGCGCCAATGCCTCGCTAACGCTTCCACTCGCAGTCACTAACCAATAACGAATTTTATGTTGCCACTTATCTACTGAAGACTCCACTTACAACAACTGCTACTATGACTAAATCTTCCGGCTATGCAACTAACACTCACATTTGCAACCGTCCCCACTGTTGTTTTGTTTTTGTTTTTCAGAAGACAAAGCCTCTGTGTCACACTCGTGCACACATGACTCCAGTGCGCTGCTTAACACCACCGAAGGTCTGGAGATACATGTAGAGCTGCCTGGCAAAGAGCGTCGCAACCGGGATAAAAAGCAGCAGGATGTAGAATTGGCGCTGAGACGTAAATTGAATCGAGATTTGAAAGAACGTTATTTGCACTTACATAAAACCACTTTGCTATGCTGCTTTGCGCGCAGTTACCGTTTCAATCGCATGCTGAACGATACACCGCTAATGAGGGCAGCTTTGAAATTGTTGCCGAGCAACAATGCCTATCCACCAGAGCGTGGCACGGAAATCAAATACTTTCAGTCCATGGTTACTTGGTATAAGACGGCCGTCAAGTTGGCATCACCGAATTTGTACGGCGACAAGGTGCGTATGAGTAGGAGGCGAGTGAAGCGTGAGCTATTGGCGCAGATCAAGCGGAAGGAGGCAAGTTGCAAGCAGGATTTCGTATTTATATTTGTGGCATTGCTGCGTGCGATGGGTCTGCAATGTCGGTTGATAGTTAATATGCAGCCGTTGCCATTGCGACCGGCGCAATCGGATTTGTTGACGATTAAATTGAAACGGGATGGCGATAAGAAGGAGGAAGGTGCAGTGGAGGCGAAAAGGTTGAAAATCGAGGCGGGCGAAGAGAAGAAGAAACATCACGTTGGTACGTCGGAGAATGCTGGCAAAGAGAAAGTGGCTAAAGCCAAGGAGAAGAGCTCAAAAGAGGCACATAAAAACGATAAACCAAAGGAAAGTGCATCCGGTGGGAGTAGTGAAAAGGTAGTTAAGGACCGGGGATCGAAAGAGAAGGAAAAGACAGAAAAGGATGTACTGAAATTTAAGAAAGAGTTAGAAAAGACGACACAAAATAAAAAAGATACAAAACACGCACAAAAAGAGGCACACGCGGAACGTGACAAAGCGCCCAGCGCCAAATTGTCCAAATTGAAACAGGTTGAAGGGGCTCAAAAGCAAACTACCGTTACAAAAACAACAGCTCAGAAGGAGAGTACAAAGGCAGGCGCTAATCCACGCAGTTCCAGACAAGCAAAAACGCAGGAAACCACCATGGAATCATCGCAAGAGGCTGATGAGAAGAAGACACTAAACACCGCGAGCAATAAGGAAATCAAACCTAAACTCTCCCGGCTTAAGGCTCAGCGTGCAGCAGGAAAGCACATAGAGCCTGACTTATCTCCTGGAAAACCCAGTCTACAGGTCGAAGCTACGCCGATTGCACGACGTACTCGCCAAGCCTCCACTGAAAAGCAGCTGGTAAATAAAGCAATAACAACAACAGATGGCGAAAAACCTGTTATACAGATTGGTACGCGTGTTCTTCCGAAAATCGTTATTCAATCAGGCAAAGCCGTCACCACTGCCAACACCCAGCTGAGCGAACGTGAGAATCAACCGCATACGAGTATCGCCCGTACGACTCGTGTCACGCGTTCGCGCAGCAAATCACCCAAAATGCATATTTCGCCTACGTTTTTGCAAAATACCGATTACAAAAACAAATTTCCGGAGCCGGCTCCGAAAGACAAACCAAAAGGCGGACGTGCACGCGTCAGCTCGAAAAGTCCCACAGGGAAAGTACAAATATCCGCCGAATTCTTACGTCATCCTCACAACATCAATGCCGATGAGTCTATGCCGAGCAGTACACATGATGTGGCGAAACGTATATTACGTTCACGTCAAAAATCCAATGAGGTTACTGGTGGCGTTAAAAATCCAAAGCCACCATCGGTGCCACAATTAGATGGCGCTGATGACAGCTTGGAGAAAATGTCGTCCAAAAGTAAGCGTCCAAAATTGAAAAACTTAAAACAAAAGTCCCATTCACGCGATGATGATTCCGATGACGATTTTGAACCTTCGCCGCCAAAGCAGCCGAAGAAAGCGCCAAAATTACCAACAAAGAAGCCTGTAGACAGACGCGTTTTATCGTCTGATGAAGAGGAGAGCACTGGCGGCGCCGTCAAGCGTAATCCAACAGCAGCGGATATGTGGATTGAGGTATGGTCCGATGCGGAAGAGCAGTGGGTTTGCATAGAGTTGTTCAAAGGCAAATTGCACTCCGTGGAGGCGATTAGGGTGAGTATTGAGTGTTCAGTTGACAAAGACTGCTTCAAAAACTCGAAGTCGCAACAATTATTTCATTTTTTTTTTGGTCTATTTTCACATTTGTATGCACAGAAAGCCGCCTCCTCCAATTTAGCCTATGTGTTCGCATTCCAAAATGATTTGAGTATCAAAGATGTGACTGCACGTTATTGCCCCGATTGGACAAAAACTGTACGCAAGTCGCGTGTGGAACGCGCATGGCTAGAGGCAGCCTTTACACCATACTATGGTCAACGCACAGCTCGAGATATACGCGAGGATCAAGAACTGCGGCGTATACACGAGGAGAAGCCTATGCCCACCTCAATTGCTGACTACAAAGATCATCCGCTGTATGCGCTCGAACGTCACTTACTCAAATTCCAAGCAATTTATCCGCCAAATCCACCAACATTGGGCTTCATACGCAGCGAACCGGTTTATGCGCGAGAATGTGTGCATACGCTACACTCGCGTGAAATTTGGCTAAAGCAAGCGCGCACAGTTAAGCTCGGCGAGCAGCCGTATAAAATTGTTAAGGCGCGCCCTAAGTGGGATCGGGTGAGGGCATTGAACTAAAATATATTTATATATGTATGTATATTTCTAATTTGATTTAATTTTTATGCCCATTTCATGTGCGCAGTTAACGCAAACGGTCATCAAAGATCAGCCGCTGGAGATTTTCGGCTATTGGCAGACGGAGGACTATGAGCCGCCAACAGCTGAAAATGGCATTGTGCCACGCAATGCTTACGGTAATGTGGAGCTGTTCAAGGAGTGCATGTTGCCCAAGAAAACAGTGCATCTGCGTTGTAAGTTAGCCAAAAGCGATGAAAATAATAATAATTAGTCTTCTTTATCGCTTTTTAATTGACAACTAAACGTTGCTCTGGCTGTTTTCACTTTCAGTGTCGGGTCTAAATCGTATTTGCAAAAAACTGGGCATTGATTGCGCGCACGCTGTGATTGGTTTTGACTTCCATCAGGGCGCTTGTCATCCGCTCTACGATGGCTTTGTCGTTTGTGAGGAGTTTGCAGATCAAGTGACCGCCGCTTGGTATCAAGATCAGGAGGAGCAAGAGAAGAAGGAGCAGGATAAGTATGAAGCTCGTGTTTATGGTAACTGGAAGAAGCTCATTAAGGGCTTGATAATACGCGAGCGTCTAAAGAAGAAATATAATTTTTAATTGTACACATTCGTGTTGTGAATTGCATAAGATACATGTATTTTTTTGTTATTATTATAAGTTTTTGACGTTTATTTTCCTGATTATCTTGATTATCGGTTTATTTGTGTGAGTATTATATTTATGTTATGTAACAAAAAGCTCCTTTATGCTTTCTTCAATTTATCAATACTTTTATTTTCAACACCACCTAACACCTCAACGATAAATTTTTGAAATAATACATACATATATTACACATATTTTGATAAAAAGCTCAAGAAAGTTGTTGGAGAGGCATGTATTTTTTTCTGAATTTGATTTAATAAAAAAGATTTCCAACAAATATTTTTCATATACACAATTTGTTTGTTGTTTTATTATGCGGAGAGTCACGAGTTCGATTACTCGCCAGATCAATGTCAAAATTTATAGAAAAAATATTTCCTCCGGAGTGAAAAATTCAACGGTCGCCAACGAGGACTCCAAGAATCTCGCTGTTTTGACGTGTTCGGTTGACAGAGAGAGAGAGAGAGAAAGAGAGAGGGGCGTTAGATGAGGATATTTAAGTGGGTATGCCATGAGGCGGTTAGTGGCGTGCTTCGTATAATACGTTAAGCATTTCGAGGTGACGTCTGGCTGAGTATGAGATGAGTAAAGCAACAATATCCAGACTTTAATTATGCCAATATTACGTGGAACTGATTTCACCGCTGCAGAGTTAAATAGAAACCTGCTGGCATATGCCGTTGACAATGATATCGTGGGCCTTAATAACCGCGGGGTTAGTTCTATTGGATGAGTGCATAAGTTCGTGCCCGATTTCAAGTGCAAACTAAAATNACGATATATAATATGTATATATTTCTTTCACGAGCGCCACTCTTAAACGATTTGAACGGCATCCAGCGGAATCGGACACGAACTTATGCACTCATCCAATACTTACCCCAAGACTCAATAAAGAAGCGAAAAAAATGGGTTTGGTAGTGAACGAGGAAAATCCGAAGAATCTCCTGTCATCAAACAAATCGCCTTCAGATTCGCAACTCGGCTTCCATGTCATTGTTGACAGCTAAAACATCGAGCCGTAGATAATTTCATCTATATATCTAGTCTATCTAGAGACCAGCAGCGTAAACACCAATAATAATTTCAGCGCTAAAGTCCAATGCTTACCCACTCTTGCCAACGGATGCTACTTCGAACTGAGTCGGCAATTGAAAAGTAAAGTAATTTGTCGACGAACAAACACCAAATTGTTCAAGTTCCTAATCAGTTGTAGTTGTTGTTGTTACCGCAAAAAGATTCCCCAAAGTACTTTTTGGGGTATGTTGCGGGAGTGAAAGTCCTTGAATGGGTAAAAATCCGGTTCGTTCCGGTATAAAGACGCAACTGTCGCGGGAACTATTGGATTTTAGTCGCCTCTTACGAGAGGCGTGTCTTAACGCGGGTAAATTCTTAACCCCTAATCAGTCCCTTTCTTCTGTATGATGCCATAGTGTGGATGATGTCGGCATCCGGACTCGGCCTTGGCGTCTTTGAGGGCAAAGCTTTGCGAACGTGTCGATAGTACGATGAGCTGTTATACGATGACGTCGACATAGTTCAGTGAATCAGCGCTGCGCTGGCTAGATCATGTCATTCACATGGATTGAAGCACACCAGCTTTGAAAGTTTTCGAGTGCAAGCAGAAGGAGTGGAAGATCTCGACTCCATTAGGAGGATCAAGCAGAGAACGACCTGTTTGCACTTGGCATTTCCAACTGGTGCTAAACAGCGAAGAGAAGGTATGAATGGCATTGTTGCGGTGCGGTGCCTATGCCAATGAAGAAGAATATTGTACGGATGGAAAGAGTATATGACTTCGTCGTTTTACACATTCATTTCGGGTAGGCATTCCTTAGTCTAGCATGTGGAGAGTATAGGCGGCGATTTCCCTGGTTATCGTATAGTGAATTAGTGGAAAAGATCAGATAGAATACCATTTTCCTCCGAACCAAGATTCATCCACATATAAGACCACATTAACGCTCTCTTCCCACTATCAGCACCCCTTGTTGCAGATCACACTGGTAATTCAGGGTACGATAGTAACATTGCCTGATTCACCGTGTCAAAGGCTTTTGTCAAGTCTAGTCCATACGGGGCAGTTGAGGAGTGATCGATTTTCGTTGAGCTCAAGTTTTTTTAGACGTTCAATGCTGATATGCTGCTGAGCTCAAGTGTTAGGTACTGGAGAGGTATCGAACGATATCATTCTATCTTGCTGGCTGGTTTTCACGGTTTTAACAGTGGAACCACACCTCACCGTTTTTACATTTGCTGGTAAGGAAGGTGGAAGGAAGCATCAGCATGTATATTCCGTTATGGTATTATGTATTTGGAGGCTTTTACCTTCCGCCTTATCTCTCTGTATCGCCTTTTATGGGAAATCAAGCGCAAAAAGCAGGCTAAAATAGCTTTGATTAGGATGAGGAGCGGACACCGTGTAAAATTTCCACCTTGCCATCGCATCTCGTAGAGCCTAACAACGATTCAACGGTGATCGAAAGCATGGCTGCACCAGAGAAGAGGTTCTATGATGAACTCGTTACGCCTGTGTCGAGCTCCCAGCAGCGGTCAGGACTATTTCGCAGAATAGACGTACGCCAATGCCAACGTCGGTTGAAGTTAGGAGCACATTGAAGGTGGGTTCAATAAACATCGTGAAGCTAAACCAATTAGCGTCGTTGAAGTTAACATATGAACCGCGGAAATGAAGTCAGGTCAATAGTTTGTCGATACAGGCAATATAGTTAAATATATTTACGGTCTTCTGCTGGAATCTTTTGCAGTTAAATTGTCGAGTTTGTCGCGTCTAGTTGTTTGTATTGCGGTGGCTAATGCAGTGATTTGTGCTTTAATACCCATCCATAGGGGAATGCCGCATGCAGACTTCTTTGCACGTGGCGCAACGAATGCAGCGGAAATATTCCCTTGGACAGAGCTTAGATTCAATATTTCTTCACATCCGAAGAATTCAGAGCAATCCTACTGCCGAAAAACATCCCTTTGCCAATTCTGTTCCATATATCCGACTGTCAGGAGAGTCGTTCAGCAGCTTTGCTATACAGATGCGGAAGCACAGAGTTGATCAGATATTTGAATCCTGCGATATATGATAAATTTGGTGAAAAATACAAATAATTTTCGTATTTATGTTAAAGTTGGTATTTATTTGTTGCTCACTGATTACCATACAGATTATGGGATAAAGTTAACCGATAGACTTAAGTCTTAAATTTTATTCTTTTTATATATAAATATATTTATAATTTAAGCGAATCTAATTTTTATCGAAATTTTTGTTAATTTTTTAATTATTTTACCAATAAGTTTTTTTTATAATAATAAATATTTTTTATTTTTTTTTGTCACATCAAAAATATTGAAATTGTAATATGCAAAAAACCTTAACTGACTAATATTACGCATAATATTATTATTATATATATATTGTATTTGTGTAATATTACGAGAGGTTGTAAAATAGAAGCTTTGTATATTTATGCGATTTCTTTTAATTTTTTATTTTTTCCATTTATTTTTATTTTTATTTTCAATTTTGAATGAAATGGAATGTAATAAAAACTAGCAGTGCGGTTTATGGTTGGTTTAAGTACAAAAAATTAGTTAATTAATAAACGCACATTTATATTTTTACAGTCCACAATAAAAGAGCTAAGAAACATGAAATAATAAAATAAAAGAAAATATGAAAAAATAAAATAAATACCATAAAATGTTTAAATTAAGATAATAGAATAAAATGAAATTAAATATAAAATAAAATTTAATACAATAAAAACGTAAAATAAAAAAAAAAATTAGAAATAAAATGAGGTAAAATAAAATATTACTGTAAAGAAAATAAAACGAAATAAAATAAATATAAATTAAAAGTAAAATAAAGTAAATATTTAATAAAATGAAAAAATAGTTAAAATAAATTAAACAAAACAAAATAAAAAAAAATTTAAATAAAATAAAATGGAATAAAGAATGAAATAAAATTAAATTAAATAAGATAAAGTAAATTAAATAAAATGGAAAAAATTAATAAAATAAGTTCACCTAATATAAATTCAAATAAACGAAATAAATTTAGATAAAGTATATAAAATCAAATGAAATAATATAAATTAAATTAAAATACTATAAATTAAAATGAAAAAAAAATAAAAAAAATTTGAAAAAATAAACAATATACGACAAAATAAATAAAATTACATGAAATAAAATAAAATAAGGTAAAATAAATAAAAATAATTAAGTGAAATGATAAAAATTAAAATAAAATACTATAAAATGAAAAAAATTAATTAAATGAAATAAAATAGTACCATATAAATTAAATTAAAATACACTAAATTAAAATGAAATAAAATAATTGGAAAAAGCAAACAATATAAAACAAAATAAATAAAATTACATGAAATAAAAAAATTAAATAACATAAAATTAAATTAAATAAGATAAAATACATAAAAAATATTTAGTGAAATAAAATAAATTGGAATAAAAATAAAAAAATTAAATAACAAATAAAATAAAACTGAATAAAAATTAATTAGCTAACATGAAACTAAATTAAATAAGATAACATACATCAAAAGAAAGAAATGAATCAAAATAAATGATATAAATTAAAATAAAATACTATAAAATGAAAAAAAAATATTAATGAAATAAAATAAAATAAAATAAGATAAGATTAAGTACATAATAAAAAAATAGTGTAATAAAATATAAGATGAAGAAGCACGTATTTTAGTAAAACAAATAATATAAAATGAAAAAAATAGAAAAAAAAGTATACAAAAATTTAACTAAAACAAATTTAAATATAAATAAAAGAAACTAATAAAATAAAATAAAACTTACTAAAAAACATTTAATAAGTACTACCTTGGAGTGCATGCAATAAATTACTTTAAAAAGCTGCATGAATATCGTTAAAACACTTAGCAGCTGTTATTCAGTCTCTCAAGCCATAAATCTCATAAGCTTCAAGTTAGACCTTGCGTTTCAAATGCATTACTTTTACTGATCAACTGCATTATTTATATCTAAAAGTCTTCGAATGCACAAAGGCTTACCTAATCTAACTTAATTTCATTAAACATTTTAAAAATTTCATAAAAATAAAATAATTTTTTTTTTTATGAAAAAAATAGTTTCTTTTCAAAGAAGAGTTAATTTCTTTTTTTTTTTTAAGTAAACTAAAAATATGATAACAAACGAAGCATAAAGGTATAAAACAAATTCGTGGCGATTATTTACGTAATGATCTAAAAAATTCTTTGGTGTTTCTTTAGAGCTGCTCAGTATTCTTTCTTTAGTTGCGTTGTGCCCTCCTCACATATTTTCTCTACGATTTAGTCACTGTTCGAGCATAGTTAGTGCCACCGCCTCCGCGTTGTTGCTGCTGTGCAACAGTCACATCGTTCGTTTTGGAATTCCTGTTTATATCATTGCCCGTTGCATCGCCAGCTGCCTGCTGCTGTCGTTGCTTATATGCATTTTGCTCTTTCAGATAATTAATATACATGCGACGTGCCTGATTGAGGACTCGTGTCACATCATGCTTGCGTACCATCTTATCGAAATGCATTGCAATCTCATTGTAATCCATGCCGCTTTTCATAATTGTTTGGCGATGCTGCAGCAACAGTGTGAGGCAGAGAAACATTAGGAAGGGATTGCCACCACCGAATTCGGTGGGTGGTGGTAAAACTGGTGGTGTTGGGCCTACTAAGTTCGCACCGCCGTCGCCACTACAAGCGGCACGTTCACTAGCTGTGCCATGACTGGACAGTGGTGTTTTCGTGAAGGCAATTTCATCGACGGCGTTCGTGGCGTACTCTACGGGCGGCGAAGCGTTGATGATGTCTGTGGAAATGGGTACCAAAACCTCGGGCAAACTACTACTGCTGGGCAAAACTACACCCGCAATGTCATCACACATTAACAAATTGGTTGTGGCGGGATCGATGAAAGGATTGTGTAGATTATGCGTGGGTGATGCCGCCGAATTGGTTGTGCCATTTGAATTGCTATCGGTTGCTGAGTTAAGCAATTCATCGGCATTTTGCCACACAGTGCTTGTGCCTACATGCTGCAGTGGCTCTATGCTACTTCTCGTGCGACTATTGCGACTGCGTCGACGTATAAGTAATTCACTAATATCAGGACATGCAATAATTTCATTCTCTTTTATGTCCTCTACCAAGTCTAGAGAGTCTTTATCCAATTTTTCATACTCATAATCACTATTCACTGCTGCTTGCTTATTCAAGGGGGGGTCGCCAAACACTTGCCGATCCAAATTTTCCGCCTCTAAACGCAACTCTCGTGTAATGGCTGTCGTCATTGGATAATACTCTTGATCTTGGCTATCATCGGGTGTCAAGCTTGGTTCCGCGGGCAAATTTTTTATTGGCGTATGTGGTTTAACCACAGCAGCTGGTGCGGTATTATCGAACTTTTCACAGCCATCTGCTACTTCAGATTTTCGTTCACCTGTGGGTGTACGATCAGGCGTGTGTGTTGCCGAAGAGCTAAGCGATGACAGTTCCATATGTAAGCTGTTATTACTCGCATTGTTGGCCTGCTGTATTGCCGTTGCTGCTGTGTCGCCGCTCCATGTTGTGTCGGGCACAGATGATGAATCGGATTCGTCTAGTGAAGAGACGAAGCCGCTGCGTGTTAACTGTACGAGTGGATGTGTCGTGGTGTGTGCTGCAGTTGTTGACTTGTAGGCGTGCGTGGGTGATGGTGTCTTGGATTTATCTTTGCTATGTGTTTTTATGTTGATGATGCTGTTGCCGCTGTCGTTGTTAACGTTGCCGCTCAGATTGGGTTGGGTTGTTGGAGCGAATTTATCGGCAATGCGATTTTTATTTATTGAAGCAAAATTTAGAAATTCATTAAAGTTTTTCACCAATTTCTGTTGAGATTTTTCCGTGTTGCTCAATTCGTCAAAAGACATGCCTGAAAAGTAGGAAAAAATTATATTTTTTACGTTTTTTTTTTATGTTAAATACACACCTTTTCTGCTTGTGGCCGCTATTTTCTCTTTGAGGTCTTTAAAGTGACCACCACCACCGCTGCTCACACGTCTTACGCTCTCACTTACATTGGAAGCATTTGCAATTTGTTTGGCTATTATATTGCTCACAGTATTGTAATTCGACAGAATATTTTTATTTTGCAGTTTGGCAATTCCTTTTGGAAGTTGTGGGAGCTTTCCGATTAGACCATTTTCATCAGCACCAACACCAATTAGATTCGCGTTACCCATAGTTACACTATCTGGTATTGTTTTTGCCGGCAGTTGTGTTGGTGGCCCAGACGACTCTATGACGGGCTCTTCCCCAATGAGGCTATCATCTTTAAAGGGATTGGTTGGATGAAATGTAAAGTGATTAATGTCATTTGTTTCAACATTTGCGCTACTAACAGCACTGATGAAAACATCATCATCCTCCACATACTCCCCTTGCTGATCGTCGTCTTGGTCTTTAGTAATGGACGTTAAGTTATTCGCTTCAGCATTTTTAACATCTTCCATGCCCTCCATTAGCAACAACATTTTTGATTCGTCTAAGCTTTGGTGCGCCTTGGATGAATGTCGTCGCCTACAGGCAACTGCACGAGGCATATTATCGTCAAGACTTTGATTAAGACGTTTCGTTGCATCCAAACGCAAGTTATTTATCACTCCACCACCACCTGCACTAAGCGATGAGCTGAGCGAAGTCAATGAGGCTGAAGAGCTTTGCCGGCGCAAAGCACATACCTTGGTATAGGGATTTTCACGCGACTTCACCAACAAATACGAGGGACTAATGGGCGCACCGTACGAGCTTGATAATGAGCTGGAAGTTGTCGGTGCGGGACTTTCCGAAATAGGCACAAACTCCTATGCATGATTCAAATTTAATTCCAGTCTACATATAAAATGTAAAGTAATTAATATTTCATACCTTTTCATATAGATTCAGTTCTTTGCAAATACTAGTCTCATACTTCAGCGAACTCCATTGCACCTCAAGCATGCGTAGCGCATCATCGAATGGAAATTCACGTTTCATCTCCAGCAATAGCCAGCGATAGCAGAAGAGCAGATCATCGGCTTGTTGTGCTTTAAGGTACTCCCAAAATTCAGGATCGTAAAAGCTCAGCGCTTCGGTGAGATGCGCAAATTTCTGCGTCATTGCTATGCCGTCTAACATGAAATTACCCTTCACGCGTGACATTATGGCGCAGAAACAGATATAGGCTTGCGCTTCATCATTCATAGTCACCAATAGTGGGGAGGCGATGTCCGACATGCCCTGACAATAGCTTACGGAGGGATGATTGAGTGCATATGTTGTTAAAATATTGAAAAGGGAAGCAATATTTTGATTGTCATCGCTGCCGGCATAGAAAGGATGCAGTCGATCTGTACGTAAAACGTCCTTCTTCACCATACTGGTAACATAGGACAATTCACCAGCGATGCAACCTGAAAATCAAGTAAAAATTCTTTCTTACCAGCACAATCATTAATTTTTTATCCAAACGAACCTTGCTTGACAGCATTTTTCCATGTGTCCCGTAGTTTTATATATTGTTCGGACTTTCTGCGCATATAATCCATACGTTGATGCCCGTTCATGCCATGTGGATAGACGTTTAAAATGTGTTTCCACACAACACGCCGCAAACTCGGATCGATACCACCAAGAAAAATAACTTTACGCAATTCATCGGTCCGTTTTATTTGACCAAGAGCGTCTAAAAACAAACGAAACTCATTGTCGGCTAAGGGCGGTCGCGGTGGTAATGAAGCCATTGTTTCCTCTGATAGATTAAAAGCTTTTTGCACAATTGAAAATGTCTTCTCCATATGGTTCATTATAAGGCCTGGTAATTTTGTCTGCATATTCTGCACATATTTCTGTGATGCACCAATAGATTGTTGCAGCGGCGATATTGCTTCACGCACACTTGTATTCGGTGAGATATTCGGAGAGAGTGCACTGACACTTGTGCTGCCGCTAACACCACTACCAGCATGCGTAAAACTCGTTGTAGCTGCGGGTTCAACATCCCATTCCCTCACCTCTGTGAATGGTTTAATGTCGATTTGAAGCATTAAACACGGTTCGGTTGCAGTTTGTATGGAGAGATTATGTATACGCAGGAAAGCAGCATCCAAATCCCAATCAGATAATACGGATAAGTACATTTCATTACCTGCCGGATCGAAAGCTTTATATTTAATGGAGAAATCCGATTTGATATCGAATGCTTTAGCTAGTAATGAATATAACACTTCCAGTGATGTGATTTGAGGATCAACGCTAAATTTACGCCACTCCGATGGAACATTTGGTTCACATTTCTAAAAGAGATGAAGAAATTCGAAGGACATAGTTAAAGTTGAAAACAAAGAAAACTATAGACTTATGTTTTTTACTCTTTAGCTTATTTACCTTGACTTTAACGCGCACAGCGCAGTGTGGGTAACTAGCCATATTTTCAAACTAACACTGTTTCCACGTTCAGGCGATTTGATTGTTTAGCGCAGACTAGTTATTGTTATAAGTTGAACGTTCACTTTGAGTTCCATTCTTCCATCTGTTTTGCAAATCAATTGCACAATTTTCACAAACATGCAAAAATTGCTTCCAACAAAAAATCGGTTTGGGTGCAATGAACAGCTGAAAATGCCAACTACAAAATGTCACTATGCACATGCAAGTGTGTGTTTGCTAAACGTCAAACGCATGTTAGGAAATGTACAGAAAACAAAATGAACGAACAGCTGTTCAAAGCACAACAGAGTTGTCATTTCTTAAAGGGTGCAGTAGAGAGGTGTGAAGAACTTTAGTTCAATTAATTAACACAAAAAAAATTAAAAACCATAAATTACCATATTGAGGTAGATAAAATTATATAAAAAATTAATAAAGGACAAAAAATTAAAAAAAAAATTAATAAAGATGTAAAAAAAAATAAAATCGAACATAAATCGAATACACTAAACAGAATAATATTTATATATAACATTTATATATAACACAAAATAAAATAAATTTATAACACAAGCAATAAAATATAATAATTATTCAAAAAAATTTAAATAATTTCGTAAAATAATAATAAATAAATTAAAATTGAACAATAAAAGATAAAATCAAATAAAATGAGATAAAGTAAAATAAATAAAGAATTAAACAATAAAATAAAATTATGTTAAATAAAACAAAATAAGATACAAAAGGTACAATAAAATAAAATAAAATATTTATATAAAATAAAACTAATTTAGTATAAAAATAAAATATATAAACCGAAAACGTTAGAAAAATGGAACAGAATTAAATAAATTAATATTGAATTAATAATTATATAGTAAAATTAAATAAAACAAAACGCAATAGAATAGAGAAATAAGAAAGAAAAAATAAAATAAAATAAAGCAATAAAATGAAATAATTCTTCAAAAAAATTCAAATAATTTCGTAAAATAATAATAAATATATTAAAATTAAACAAAAAAAAAAATTAAATAAAATAAAATAAAATGAGATAAAGTAAAGCAAATAAAGAATTATACATTAATATAAAATGAAATAAAATAAAATAACTATATAAAAAGAAATTAAATAATTAATAAAAATATAATAAATAAATTAAAATAGAACAAAAAGGTAAAATAAACTATAATAATATAAAAATTATTTAAAAATTAAACGATAAAATAAAATAAAATATAGTAACATATAGTAACATAAATTAAAATAATATAAAATGAAATAAAACAAAATATTTATATAAAATAAAGGAATTTAGTTTAACATAAAATAAATAAATGAAAAAACACTTATGTAAGTTAGAACAGAATGAAATGAAATTAAACTCAATTGAATCGTACATAATGAAATAAGCTTAATAATAAAAACAAAATAACGAAAATAAAATAAATTAAAATAAAATGAAAAAATAAGATAAAATAAAAAAATTGTAATAAAATAATATCTAATGAAATAACTGAATAAAATAAAATTGTAATTAAATTAAAATAAATGAATATGAGATAAATGAAGTATAAAATGGAACAAAATAAAATATTGTTGAATTAAATGATAAAACGTAGAAAAACATTATGCAATGAAACAAGTTAATTTTTAGAGTAAACTCACTTTATTCGCAATAATATATATTACAAATGTAATTAATTAATTTTATTCATATTATTTATTTTACACAGTGTTATTATTAGAATATATGTATACTTATTTGTGTTGAATTTCATTTCAGTTTATGATATTTTCATAAATACTGTGACTACGTTTTAACACTCGTTACGAATGCATAAACACAGGCTATTTATGACTTGTATTTTACAAAATAAGAAAGAAAAGTATATAAGGTTTTTTTTTTAAATTTTTCTGTTATTTTACAGTTTTTAACTACTTACGAGTAGATTTCATATTTAATTTACATGCAGATTTGAGGACCTAAATAATAAATTTTTATTATAATGATTTCACTGTATATATGTATATTTGTATTTTAAAAATTTTCTAATATGCCACAAAATTTGTTTAAAATTATTAATTAAAAATTAAAAAAAAACCAAAGCATTGTTTTTGAATTACGAATATTGTCTCTCAAATATATTATACAAACCGCCCAAAGATGTACTTTATAAAAAAAAAAGCTTTTGAAGCTTTCGAGGCAGTTAAGATATCGTTGTGAGCATCCACAATTTAGTGGTGAACTTCACAAAAAAAAAAAAAAATTAAAAACAAAACTAAGCCAAAATTAAAATCAATTTTCAATTATTAATATAAAGAGATAAAGGAAATTTAAGATTTAATATACAATACATATACATATTAGAGAACTCAATAAGACGAATTTTTCAAACTCAAGCTATATCTACATTTCTATTTTTATTTATATAATTTCGAAAATATTTATGCAAATGACTACTACAGTAAAGAATTATTAACGTAACAGAAATGAGCACAAAATCAACACTGAAAGTGGGAAATAATGTAAAAACTATTAAAATGTTTTTTTCTTAATTTAAACACGCTTTTTTTTCTTTAAATTGCCATAAATATTTCAATCTTTATATGTATACACAAATATACATATGCACGCTTATAATATTTTTTTTTATTTAAGCAAAAAACTTTATCAATTAAGTCCATTCATTAAGAATACATTTTATTTACAAATTCCCTAAGTAAATAATTAAGTTTAAATTTTTAAAAATATATTTAAAAAACATACACGTACATACAAACATTCTTAGTACATATAATTATTTATTCATTTTAAATATTTAATATGTTTTGTTCTTAGTATTTAAATACATTTAAAAGGCGTTAATTGTTGTTTATAATTTTATTTATATTTAAAAAATTTTTATTATTAAATATTTATATATGCTTTAAAAGAGAGAATGACTACTGACGCTTCAACTTTCTAACGTGTATAAACACCGTACCTACATACATATGCATGCAATTCTTTACAACTTTAAGATATGCACATGAAGATTAATTTTTGTAGAAATTTATTATATTTTCAATAAAAATGATAAAAATAAAAAAAGTTGCTTTCACTTTCAAATTTTCTTAATCTTTTTCTGATTGACTTGTAGCCTAAAAATAAAAAATAATATTTTCAGCATTGTTTGCAGCTTTTAAATAAATAAATTTGTTTATATATTTATTTGTTGTTGGAATACATAAAAAAAATTGTACTTAGTTGTATACTATTCAAGGTTTAATTTATAAATAACTCGCTGTAGGCTTTTGCATTTGGCTTGAGGTATTTTTTGTGCTCCATTGAATACCCCCTACGCACCGACTTTTTTCGATCAACATACGCATGCATAGTTATCGATTAACGCAATCAAGTAAGGTTTGGTGGATTCGCTATAAGTAAATAATTTTTCTTTGCGCGTGACTAAAATTGTTTGCTTGTGGCTGTAATGGATTAATCTGTATTACGTCGTGGCTTGACTTCATTTGGGTGACTAAATGAGAACTCTTGCTTGAGTGTCAGCGGAAGTCTACATACTTTATTTTTTAATCCAAACAACCATCGTTGCTTACGTATACGCTTCAGCTGAGCGCATAACTACAACTGCTGAAGCATCCTTATTTCTCTATACATATACCTTCGCATGCTCAAAATAGAAATCTTCCCAAATACCAATAATTACCAAACTTTCATGCGCGCCCCCCTCAATTGTTCGGATCCTTATTGTAGTCCACATATACTCGCACCACTTCGCCGGAGTATTTACGTTGTGATGGCATAAAGTAGAAGTCCGGCGTATCAGCGCCACCGCTCGAGCTCAGGCGTGGATCTTCACGTGAACGCGAACCGTCGCGGTAGTGGCGTCCATTGCGTTGTTCATCGCGCGCTGCATGCGCCGCTGCCGTGGTCGGTGGCCGGTGGCCACGTCGCTCTTGTGTATAATAACCGGATGGCTGCATATTAGCATGATGTTGTTGTTGTGCCTGTTGTCGTGGCAACGAGTATGCGCGTTCAGCATATGAGCTACGTGTATAAGCGCCACCGCGCTCATTGCTGCGATCACGTTCATAACGATCGTAGTGACCATTCTCATTGGCGGCGGCGGCGGCGGCGGCAGCAGCTAAATTACCGGTACTACGTTGTGCGCGTCCGTTGCTGCGATAGTCATGCGTGCCATTCTCATAGTGATTGCGACTGCGCGAGCGGTGATCACCACCACCGCCATGACCATTTGCGCCTTCGTAGTAGAGTTGAGACTTGCTGGTGGGTGAATGTGACATGGGTAGTGTGGTTTGTTGTTGACTGTTCGAATTGGAGGAACGGCTGCGTGAGGACTTCTCCTTGCCAGAGGCGCCGACAGTTGTAGATGTTGTGAGATTCTTCTCTTCCGTCTCACCGTAAGGGTCGAAAGCGTAGTTGGTGTTTGAGGCGAATTCCTTCCACGGCGAGTTTTGTATGAGTGTGTCCTGTAAGAGTTTTTGGAAAAATATTAATTATTATTATTTTTTTCTAAACTCAGTTGCTCTGACGTCTTAAACCAGCCAGCATGAAGCTTTTTTCATCGACATTTAGTAGTTAATATTATTATAATTTTTTATTTAAACCCTAAATGTATGCAAAGGATATTAGGGTTGCCACGTACGATTTGGCAATATTGCAAAGGCACATAGTACATGCATATTTTCAAAATCCATTGACTTCAGTGCTTTCGACAATAATTAAAACACTTAACAATTTACACACATACATACATACATACATACGTACATACAATATTCGATGTTGCACAAATAATTAATTTGAACTGCCGCGTTCGTATGCTCAAGTAACCAGTCATACATTTTGATTTGTTGCTATTTTGCGACATACAAACATGCAAACATAAGATAAGTAAATAATATTAAACCAATTGTTAACACTGAGTGAACATAGTTAATGGCATTCGCGAAATAGCTTACAATAGATAATCTACAAGAAAAGGTTGTATTCAAGAAAATAAAAATATTTCAAAATTAAAATATTCGTATGACAGAGACTAAATGAATGACGAGAATATTAAAATCGTAAGGACGAAATCAAATAATAACATATTTTAATCAAAATTAAAATCGATAAATTAGTTAAAGTGAGGGAGGGAGTAAGGTCAAAATCAGTTTTAATATTATATGTAGACGAGAGAAGAGTTAGAAATTATCCCGTCATAAATTTACACCGATCGTGACAGAACGAGGAGGGGAGGAGCAGCTGAGTTGATCCGACTGTTTGAATGCAAACTAGCATGAGGTTATTGAGATACCTCAGCTAAACCTGACCCACGATCATTTTTCGGAGGTGGCCAGATCGGGCCCCTACAGCATGTATACGACCGATGCTTCAGATTTGAGATTTTGGGTCATAATTCTATCAAAAAGTTTATGGAACTTAGTTTTTCCACTTAATTTTCTACTTTACTGGCGTGGAAACAGCTTCCGCGATTATAGTCGAGATAACAACATTGCGTCGTTTATTTCTTCTTTTTGCTGTTTGGCGCCAGTTGGAAATACCTAGGATAGACAGGTCCTTCTCTACTTGGCCTTTCCAACGGAGTGAAGGTCTTACTCTTCCTCTGCTTCCACCAGTGGGTACTGCAACGAACACTTTCAAAGCTTGAGTGTACTCATCTAGACCATATGACATAGCCAGCGCAGCCGCTGTTTTTTAACTATGGTCGAAAGCACTTAGGTCGACTCATCAGATGTTGTCCCGGTCTTTGCCTCCGCACCATATATCAGATGTGAATGAGGAGTAATTTGTAGCATTTGATCTTTGTTCTTCGAGAGAGGACTTACTTTGCCAGCAGCTGTACACTCTTATAGAAGGTTGCACCTTCTCTATTCAGCTCAACACCTCTTGTTATTTTCTCCAGCAATAAACAGAAGCAGCCACACGATAAGGAATCTCCTTGCCTGCAACCTCGTTTGCTCCTTCCCGATCATGATGGAGCTTTTGGTGTTGCTTAACGTCAGCTTACGTAGCCGTATAAATTTTGTGGTAATACCGAATTCGTAGTGGCCTAGTGGCAGTTCCTTTTCCCGCTGTCAATGGCTGCTTTAAAAACGACGAAGAGCTAACGTGTGTCGATCCTCTTTCCCAATTAGTGGTGTTATCTTGATATTCAAAGAAACTACTGTTGTGGCGCTTTGCTAACCCTATTTAGGAGCAGGCTAGATCAGTTTAAATCTTCGAAGTCACCTAAGGAGAGGTCCAGGAAACTGGTCTTTTATACGGGTTCAGACAAGGGTCAAAGGGAGGGTTAGATATGCTGGTTTTAGAGGGCATGCAAAGAGGTTGTTAGTATCTCACGACAGCCTGTTCTACGCGCCCTAGTAGACCTAGTTGGCTTTTATCCGGTCGAGCTGTCACTTTGTCAACTTTGTTTTGGTCCCAGGTAGTCGCATAATTCTCGTTCTGCTATATGATGCGGAGACATGAATGAGGACAGCATCTGATGAATTGGCACTCGGAATTTTCGGGAAAAATATTTGGCGAAAGTTTTATGGTCCATTGCGCATTTGTAACGGCGAATATCGCAGCTGTTCAGTGGCAACGCTGGCTAGGTCATGTCGTCTGGAGGTACAAAAACACAAGTTTTCAATGAAGCTGGTGGAAGCAGAGGAGAAGAAGAAGAAGAAGAAAGGAAGGCTGATGCTCGCACGGCTAAGCCTAAACAATGTCTACATCAGCAAAGAAGAAGAAAAGTTAAAAAGTTCCTTAGATAAGCGATGTCCATGACAGACCGAACAAAAACCGATATACATAAAAATATAACAAGAATAATTTACATTTTAATTTATTTTAGGGACATTTTCAAAATAAATATTTAAAATAAAAAGATGTATAATCATAACGAAATCATTAACTGTACAGTAAGCGTTAATTAATTGTTCCCGAATTTACGCACTAGCATATAAACAAACACATAAGTATATATGTATACCATTAATTTACAACAATTCTTATATGAAAACTAATCCAAGTAACTTGAAATTCATAAACAAAATAGCAAAAACAAAATGCTGACTGGCTTATGGACACATACATACAAACATTTAAGAAACAAAAGTCGGAGAATTGAGTGAAAATTAGACGAAAGTTATTAGGAAAATGAAATGCCAGATGACAGAAAAGAGTGCGAAAACAAAGTATGAAAATTTAAAGAATACACTTGCAAGAAATTTTGAGGACACAAGGTGTTAATAGAAATAATTATTAACATTTAAACGTAAATATGAAGGAGAGAAATTTTGAAAAACTTAAAAGGAAAAGATTTTAATTTTTGAAAGAAAAAAAAGTCGGTTAGAATAAAATAGCGTGCAGTTAAAATTAGTGAGTATTTTCATCGTTTTCATTTCTTTAATTACCAATGCAACATGTGGTTAAACAACGGTGGGAATATACACACAAACATATATTCACTATATTGACAATTGAGCTAAATTTATGTAGATTTCCTTCAGTACATTCTCTCTCATAACACAGGCTCAATAGCACTCAGGTATTGTAATGAATTTATTTTACAGCCAAATAGTTTAAATTACATATACACAAACATACATTTACAGATATGTGTATGTACATTGTTTTTCAATTAAAAAATTTTGAAACTTTCTATTTACTATTTTCTTTCATTTTTTTTTGTGTTTTGGTGATTTATTGGGGGATCTCAAAGTTCGCTAGAGGGTTGATAGTAGCGCTGGTGATGCAGCCGTTGTTGGTATATCCGCCATTCGTCGGGTATTACGTAAACAAGCTTTAAATATGGTCACACAATGAATTCATTATTATTAATTGCGGGTGAGGGAAATATATTGTATGTAAGTTTTATTAATATTTTTTTTTTGGGTTTTTTGTGAATACGTATTTGAGTAATATTGTGAGATTTTCTTTTTTAGAATATTGTATGCATGTGTGGGTATGTTTTATGCTAGTAGTATATGCGTTTACACAAAACAGTATTTTAACACATTTAAAATGCTCAAAGTGAATAAAAAATAAAAAATATTTTAATATTGTTATTACATTTTGTTCAACCCACCTTTTGTGCCTTATTTTTACGTGAAGTCTTGCAAATGGTGCAAATCGCTTGTATCAAGGCAATGAATACCAGTGCGGCTATCAAACCCAACACTATGTACAAGCGCACTTCGGAGAGTTCGAAGAATGAGAGCAGTGTATCCTCACTTTTGTTAGCAGTTTTATCTGAAAGAAAGTGTTAGAAAAAATATTTTAAAATTTGATGATATACACATTTATTGTATGGGATACACAAGTTAGTTATTCATTCATGTACTTACTTACTGAAGGTTTAATCAAAAATAATTAGCTAATTTATTATTAGTAATTTTTCTGAAATTCATAAGTAACAATCATAGATAAATATAAAGCTATATAAATATTTGAAATTATCTCTTAATATTTTTTTTAAGTTCAATATTAATAAAATAAATTTTACAAATAATATTAACAAAAAAAAAATAAATAATATAAAATAATAATTATTTCTGTATGAAACAATACTTATTAGATTATTTTTTGTCAAAGAGAAGCTGTATAATATTAAAAGAAATTAAATCAAATATATTTTATTTTTAATTTATTTTAATATTGTTTAATTTTCGCCTTAAACAACTTAACTATTTTTCAATTTAATCAATTTTTTTAAGTTCAATATTAATAAAATAAATTTTACAAATAATATTAATAAAATAAAATAAATAATATAAAATAAAAATTATTTCTGTATGAAGCAATACTTATTAGATTATTTTTTGTCAAATATAATTTTTAAATCAAATATATTTTATTTTTTATTTATTTTAATATTGTTTAATTTTTGCCTTAAACAACTTAACTATTTTTCAATTTAATCAATTGATCATTTATAGAAATAAAATTATAAGTTTGAAACCACTACCCGAAACAAAGATATATACTACATACTCTTTAAATAATTTTTTATTCTCTATATACACATTTTATTATTTTTATAGTTTCATTTTATTTCTATTACCTTATTTAATTTCACTTTATAGTATTTTACCTTAATTTTATCGAAATTTTTTATTTTTGTTTAATTTGATTTTATTTATTTTTATTATACTTTATTTTATTTTACTTAAATTTTATAAAAAAAAATTTTATATTATTTTTAATTTCACGTAATATTTGAAAGTAATTTGTATTTAGCTTGTATTATTACATTTTAAATAATTTATGTAAATGTTATTTTATTTTATTTTATTTTACTTTAATTTTATAATTTTTTTTTATTTTTATTTAATTTCATTTCTTTTTATTATACTTTATTTTATTTTATTTATTTTATTTTATTTAATTTTATTTTATATTATTTTTAATTTCACGTAATATTTGAAAGTAATTTGTATTTAGCTTGTATTATTACATTTTAAATAATTTATGTAAATGTTATTAAATTAAATTCTAACTGCTTTAATTTTTTTGTTCAATTTTATTTATTTATTTATTTTTTTTTTTGTATTGTATTTTATTTATTTATTTTTCAACTTATTTATATGAATTTCCTTTATACTATATATTCACTTAATTTAGTATTAATTATTTAAATAAAATAAATTTATTTTTTTTTGTCTCATCTTATTCTATTTTTTTTGACTTCATTTGATTCATATGTTTCTTTTTTAATTTAATTTAATTTAATTTTGTAATTGTTTTTGCACCCATGCTATATAATATTTTTTTTATATGTATTAAGTAAACAAATGTTTTTATGAACTGAATATTTTGTTATATTATAAAACAAATTTCTTTTCAAATAATTACTTTTTATTAAATTTTTTCTCTTATTTTGCTTCGTTTTATTTACTTTACATATTTTATTTTATTTAATAAGCTTTGGTTTTATTTTAATTTAATTTTTTATTTTCTGGCAATTCATTTTTTATTTGTTTCACTATATTTTAATTTATGGTTTTTCTTATTTTACTTATTTTTTAAATACATTTGAATTATTTATGATAAATATTAATTAGTTTAATTTATTTTTAAATCCAATTTATTTTAGTTTCTTTCCAATTGCTTTATTTTACTTGTTTTTTTCTCTTCTAGATAATTTAATTTTACTTTAGTTCATTTTATTTTTCTTGGTTTGTATTATATTTTAGTTCACCTGTCTTTAATTTTAAATAATAATTTAATATTAAATAAGTATAGTATTTTTATTTTGTATCTTAATAAAATTAGTATATTAATTTAATTTAATTCTTTTTAATTTAATTTCATATTTATTACTTTTATTTGACATTTTCTTATCTTTTCTTATATATATTAATCTTTTAAATTTATTTAATTTAGTTTTTTCATTTATCGAATTTTTGCATTAATTTTGAACAAATTATTAATATTATAATACTGTTATTTTGTATCATAGTTAATTTCATTTTTCTTTTTAGGTTTTGTAATTATTTTTTTTAATTTGTTGTTTTATTATTTTTGTTATTAGTTTTTTTTGCTAGATAAATTAATGAAAATGTTGAGTATACGCCCTGTACATGTGTTCATATTGAAAATACTTACATTCTAGTGCCTCAAAGTCCAAAAATTGTGGATCCACCGTTAATGAGCCCACTTTGCCGGTAGAAATTTTATCCAACAATGCTGCTCGCACAGTATCACCACTTTTAGCAGCTTCACTGTTATCCTCACCAACCATATTTGTCGCTAACGCATGACCTTTTTCATAATCCGATTTATCGAACATTGCTTGTAATTTTGCGACCATTGTTGTGCCTTCCCTGTTTTTGAGAAATAAACACGTGTTTGTATAAATTAAAGGAAACTGTCTTCAATTATGTATTAAGAGTAAAGTAAAGAAATCATGATTGACACTCCAACAGTTTTTCCTTTTTATATGAAGAATTTTTCATATCCTTCCAAAGAGAGCGCCCGGTGCTAGTTAATTTTTGACCACTTTTTGGCATATATTGGGCGGTATCTCAGCCGTAACTTGACGAGTTGAGTTAGTTTTAAAGTGCTCAAGAGTTACAGGTTTATTCACATAGACACGGTCTTTCACATTATCTTACAAAAAAATGTCAACGATGTCAAACGATCACGATCAGAAATTAACATCGACAAGACGTCGGGAAATTTCTCTAGCAATAAAGCCATATGCTCGTGTTATGTGGCTCTTCGATTGCAGGCAAAAAAGTCGGTTATCATACGACCAGAACACTCCGGATTGAAAGTGTCAGTTTCGCTATTGTCGTTTTCAAAGAAGAAAACTCAGTAATTTTTCTTCGGGTATAACAACAGCTCTACTGTTCTACTGCTTGTTGCTCAAACACCTAATCGACATATGTACGACGTTGTCAGTCAGCTGCCTTGATTTGTTTTGTGGGTTGGACTTTATGGGGTTGGTGTGAAAAGTTAGCTGTATTTGCCGTAAGAAAGTCCCAGCGCACACATTCGGGTCTTCGGAGACATTTTACGGTGGAACGAGCTAAACGATGATGCACAAGTCTTACGATATCTATAACCGATGCAGTATTTTCGAGTTTCTTCAAAATTTTTACAATTGCTTGAATAGTTGTGCGATTACATGCACCATAATCCCCTCCTTCTCGTGGACTTTCTGGCAACTTGACGTGCGAAGTCCTTTTAGCCAAAAATACTCACTTCCAAGCCGTGGTTGATTTACCGTCTGCCCTTATCAAGGTTTATAATCATTTTTATTTACTTACTTTTCAAAGCCCACAATCTCTGTCTTATAGTAGCCGGGTATATTATTTAGTACGCCATTGAAGGAATCTGATATAGTGGCCGCCAAGTTATTGAATTCCACTGAACCCGGTTGAGGTGCCTCGAATGATTCTGCTAAGTTCATTAGTTTTACGCCGACAGCATACACTAAACGATTAGGAGCTGGGGTGGCTGTGTTCAAGATGCTTTCGAGTTCTTTGGACAAAAAGAAAAGGTATTAGTAAAGAAGAATGCTAATTGTGAGTGTGAATGTGTGATTAATCGATTAATCAAACCAAACTCATTAATTAAAGCCGGATTATTTAAATAATCGTAATTAGTTTTATTTAATCAAAGATTTTATTCTGACACGTTTTGATTAAAATTGATTTTAACTAATTCTTGATGGATCTGAATTATGATTATTCAAAAAACTTATTAGTCAACTAATCACACAAATAATCAGACAATAATGACTAAAAGTACCTTTGCCACATGACTTTATGCAGACGCGAATGGACGAAATAGTCGGTGTGCGCTCGTGTTTGGCCATTTTTTTGTTGACAGCATGGAATGCGCCGCCCAGCACAGGGAAGAAGAGATACAGACAATGATCGTCCGTGAATGATAAATCCTGAAACAATAGTTGAATATAATATTATTATTTACAAAAAAAAGTTTTTTTTTTTTAGAAAATAAGGTGCTTGAGGTGGGACACTCACCTGCTCATCATTGCTAACTCGCTTGCGATCGAATTCCAAAATCGTCACACCGTACTCAATGCGTCCGGAGGGCGTGCCAATAATATCTTGGCGCACATCTAATTTGGGTGCGCCATAACCATTTATCCACGTGTCCATTAAGAAGGGACGTCCATTGCGATCGACCCAACCAATAATCGCATCTGTTTGTGACATTTTCTCATCATCGCTGAAACCAATACCCGTCCAGGTCTTAGTATTCGATGTCTCGATATGCCAACGCATTACATCGCCGCGGCCCACAGTCTCCCACTGGGCATAGTACTCACAGGTGTGATTCTCAGGCACACAGTCGCTTGGATATTTCCAATGACCCATACAGTCATTGTCCAGTAAATTGGTGCTGGTTTCCACAACACCCTCTTTAGTGATGACTTTTTCCTTTTCTGCAATAAAATGAGCAGTCGAAATTTCTGATTTTTCAAACGAATTTCTTTTTCACTTACCGAAGAAATTTAATTGCGTAACACCGCGTTGCATTTTGTGTCCGTGATACTTGAGTTCGTCTGGTTGATAGAAGTCTCGCACAGATGCTGCTTCCGTTTCGATACCCGACGCTGGTATATGCACATACTGTCCCGGTTCCTGACCCTTCGCCCAAATGACATGTGTCAAGGCATCGTCCAAGGTGTGGTCGGTGGGTTCGTTTGCGACGAGCTTTTTACGGAAGATAATTGTGGTAATACCATTTTCTTCGAAGCCAGTACCGAGTGAGAGATCAGATTTGCCACCATAAAATTCATCTTTACGTGGTGTGGAACGATCACGAGTATAATAATCTCCAACACGACTGGCCATACCGCGTGCTGAACCAATAACTATATCCGTACAATCCATGGGGTTGAAATCGAATTTTGGCGTATATGGATTTAGTCGCAATTGTGGTTCTACAGATGGAGAGATAGAGAAAAGTAATACTTTTTGGAAAATATAAATTTTGTAAGATACAATGTTTAAGTGAAAGCTTTCAGGTGAAGAGTGCTGGATGTGGGGTGATTGCACGAAAATATTATGTGCGTGAGTAGTGCTGTTAATATTTACCACTTTTGGTAATAGTTTGTTGTTTGGCATGTGGCTCAGGTTCAGGTTCAGCAGAGGGTTCAGGTACTGATTTCGGCTCCGGTTCAGCTTTCGGCTCTGGCTCCGCTTTTGGTTCTGGTTCAGCACTTGGTTCCGGCTCTGATTTCGGTTCTGGTTCAGCGCTGGGTTCAGGCTCTGCCTTTGGCTCAGGCTCAGCGCTGGGTTCAGGCTCTGCCTTTGGCTCAGGCTCAGCGCTGGGTTCCGGTTCGGCTTTCGGTTCGGGCTCAGCGTTGGGCTCGGGTTCTGCTTTAGGCTCAGGCGCCGCACTGGGCTCTGGTTCCGCAGTGGGTTCTGGCTCAGCTTTCGGTTCTGGTTCAGCACTTGGCTCGGGTTCTGGTTTCCGTAGGTTTTCAGTTGTCGTTTCTATGTCATATTAGTATTTTGCAAAGGGAATAGAATATTTTGGTAGTATTTCGAGTGCGATTAATAAGAGCGAAATGTGTTGAGACAAAAACTTAAAAAAATGAGTTAAATGCTAAAGCTACGCCAAATATACGAGTAATCGTGTTGTGTGCTTCATTGTTCTCTAAAATACTATAATTAATATTGAATGTTGTTGGTTTTATTACATACCTGGTGCTTGACGGCGCCTGCGTCCGCTCGACGAGCTTACGCGATAAGAAACGCTTGTTGCCACCGACGTGATTCCATCCATATCCAGCAGATCATCTTGGTGTTTGGCCACGCGCTTAGATTTGGTCGAAGCTGCAGGCTCAGCACTTGGTTCTGGCTCAGCGGTGGGCTCTGGTGTTGGTTCAGCTGCAGGTTCGGGCTCAGCTGCAGGTTCTGGCACGGACTTCGGTTCAGGCTCGGCTTTTGGCTCCGGTTCAGCTTTTGGTTCCGGTTCGGCTTTTGGTTCCGGTTCAGCTCTTGGCTCAGGTTCAGCCTTCGGCTCTGGCTCTGCACTTGGCTCCGGTTCTGCCTTGGGCTCGGGTTCAGCGCTGGGTTCTGGTTCAGGTACTGCACTCGGTTCACTTGGTATCAATGTAGTTGTCAAATCGCCAATATCACGTATAAGAGGATAGTTCTTACATTCGGCATTAAGTGAGCTCGGACGCCAACCCAAACCTACCCACGAAGTGCCGTTCACCTTGAGTACAATTTCAATTTCCTTATGCTCCTCCAGCAAACGCCAGTACAGACGATAGTCTGGCGACAACTGTTTCATTGTATAGGCAGTCATATCTAAATCTGTAGTTCTATAAGGTGATTTCTTGTTACAACCGATGCCATGCCAACCAAAATTACAATAACATTGTTTACGCGGCAACGATGTGCCACCGAGATCTATACATTTGCCTTGATTGCCACAATCCTGATTGCTGGTACACTCATCTTTGTATTGGCACTGTGGGCCATAATAGTTTTTGTCACATTTACAACGCGAGGGAAAGTATTTGCCGTTGCCCGAGCAGGTCTCACGAAAGTCTTTCCGATTTTTGATATCAACATCGGCACAAGACCAAAAGCGATAGCCCGCTGACCATTCGTCAGCCTGCCGCAGTAAACGCAGTGTGCAATTATGACACTCAAAATCTTTCGGTATGCTTACCTCGAAGGACTGGGCACTGCAGTGGGAAAGATGAGAAAAAATATAATGAAAGTTATATAAGATCAGTGTTAGTAAACTTACGTAACGTCGGTGCGCACGAATTCGGATTGATTAACATGCGGCGTTAGATCCAGCACGGGGCGATCGAGTAAATCTAGTAACTGCAAGCGGAAGCCGCCCTAAAAATAATAGAGAATGAGTAGTAAAATTAGTCATAGAATTATATATCATCTATGCATCAGAGAGGATGATCTACATATTCAAAATATATGATTCCCAATTCTCAAGAGTTAAAAAAGCACAAGACTTGACGCTGAAATAAACTAAAGAACTCACGAAGAAAGCTAAGGTCTTTCATCATAGCCTCATGACTGCCTTCTTGGATGTCTGGATATAGCTTAATTTTGATTTGGTTTTCTAGAAGATCGGCGAGTGATACGCTATAAAAGAAATGCATACATTTCCGCTTAAGGTTAGAGATAGTGATTCGAAGTTGACCCATGTAATACCACTTTAGACAGCTCAGACTTTAAGCCGTCTTACAGTCTTACCTAATAAGTTTAGATCGTACAGAAGCCACTCTCATACATAAGGACAGTGCTGTGACTTTGTTAAGTTGAAAAGGTTTCTCTATCGAAACAACTGCGATCTGATATTGGGCCAACATTTTTGGACCCCAGATAGAGCATTAAATTTATCAGTATAGAAGTAGACCAACGCCTGGCGGAGAGATCCAAATCCGTTCTCGATTAATTTATAAATTCATACTACTTTTCATTTTGCGGGCAAGTCTTAGCTCTTCGGAACGCTAAGCTCGTACAAGATTTATTTCTCTCTGCTTTAGGGAGAATCGACTAAGCTTGCCGAATCGAAAAACACGGAGCTGAATTGACCATGTTGTGATATAAGTACGATGCCACTAGACGTGCGTACGCTACGAGAAACTAACATCAATTATGACCACTATATATATTCAACCAACTCCGAGCGACAAAGAACGTTAACAAGGAAAAGGAAGTTGCGACTTCAATAAGCTGCGATCCCACAAGACTTGCACTCCTGCTCTCTGAGAGCACTTATCGGCCATGCAGTATATAGTAACTGTGGGACAGCATTTCCAATTCCCTACGTAAAGCTGCAAACTTTTGACGTTCTGTGAAGTCAATATAATAAATGGTACTATGAGGATTGCCATACCGAAGTAAAAGAGACTTTGAGAGTTGAGGAGAGAAGCGAGACACCTTTGCAGGCAGAAAAAAAGAGGGTCCAAAATGGATGAATATGAAGACGAACCAAAATGCAACTCTGCAAGTAACCCATCATACGCGTAATGTTATACGGCCCAGAAGCATTGACACTGCTAAGTAGACTTCGAAAGAAACGTTTTGGGAACGATTTTTGGAGGCTATCCTGGATAGGACGTGCCGTCCTTATGCGCAAAAACACGCCGTAGTATTCGACATAGTACTCAGTGGCAACAAACAGCGAAGAAAAGAAAGGAATTACGTAAAAGGTGTCTACGTCAGGGGTGTAATATAGTGTAGTCAAACTTATACACTTACGTCGCGCAGTCTGAAAACCTGAGCAACCCTTGTGCTAGAGGCGGTGACCAAACCGTGTGTGTATGCGAGTGGGCGTCGGTATTGAAGCAAGCGCTCACCCCATAAATGTGTACAAAATTTAAGCCCACTTGCTTTGCGATGTTGGCCTTCGGTTTTTTAGCCTGCCACGTAGAAACCAGGTCCAATGGCATGCTCAACAAGCAAACAAATGTTGCTAGCATGAAAATTGGCTACGCACACCAACTGTTGTAGAAAAAGAAAAGTTGGTAGAATATCTTTTATGCGGGCGAAAGGCTATAACTAACGGTGACGGATGTTGCACTTATAAAACTCGCCAGAATCAAAATTTATCAAGGCCACAGGTTGGATCACTCATTGTGAACGGAACTTCAGGTCCTGTGGGACTTCTGCTGTTTTAAAATCAAAATCTCTCAAGGAACAGTAACTTTGACTATTTTACTGCTCAAGAGGGTTTTAAGCTACAGTAATCCATAGGTAGAGTGAAGTATTTTTCTTTTCCCTTCGAAGCTCCTCCTGTTTAGTAGATTACTAGCAGTGGACTAAAGTTTGGACCGAATTCCACCGCTAGAAGGTGTAGTAATGAGACTTTGGCTACAAAAGATGACGGGGATGACGTTGTACAGTCTGTAAATTGAGTGAGAGAGGGCGTGGCAGAGACCACGAAGTTACTTTAGCATACGCCATAAGGGTACTAGTTATGCAATTTTTGTACAAAAATGTCGAAAGCAGCGCACTTTTTGTTTATTTATTTATTTATTTTTTTTTTTTCATTTGCTTTGTAAAGTGCAACCAACTCTCAGGTTATAAAATTATTCAGCGTCACCTTCAACGCGACTGTTTAAACAGAGAGGCCGTAACGTGCTAAGACCTAATTAAGCACAAGCCCACCTGAGGTGTACAAGCGTGTCGTGGCGATATAATTTCTTTAATTATTATTTCTTTTACTTTAAATATTTTTGCTTTGTTTTGTTATTGTTTTTTGCTTATCGCAAACAAAAGTCGCGAAATGTAAGGTGCTTAAGCGGCAGTTAAGTACTGAAGTTCTAAGTAACGCGCAGTCAAGCAGGCAAATACCTAAATACATACATATGTACATATACTATATATATATATGTATTGTTATTTTACAAAATAAACGGTACATTCATAAGTATATGTACATATACAAGTATGCATGTATTTATTGTAATAACATTAAAAAGTCAGTCAGCGTAGCTGTATATCGTAAAAAGCGTCTGCCCCAAGTCGCTCACCATCTGCCGGTGTTCTCGCGTTGAAGTTATTATTATTTTTAAAACAATATATGAGAATTTTAACTCACATTGCTTCATAATTGCATTATTATAAATAATATAATATAATTATTATTTTGTGTGTGAGTTTTTGCGATAACTAGATACACATACATATATATATATATATATATATATATGTATACGAGTATCTTGTAAAAACAATAAGTTTAATTAAAAGACAGACAAAAGTGATGAGAGTGTGCTATGTAGATATACAGATGTATATACTTAGATATATTTATGTTTAAAAGAATATATATTGTTTGCCTTTATTAAAGTTCTTAATGAGTAGCTTTCATTAAATAATAAGACTCTGTAAGGTATGCACATACGAGTATGTTAGTGTGTATGTATGTTACCGTACAACAATAAACAGTAAATATTAATGAATGAGAACTAAAACAGCGTCACCTGAACGTGAAAAATTGCCGCAATACTCGCTTCATACAGACTTAATTAAACGCTTAAGCAAAAAAACAAAAAAAATTGGCGGCGAAAGAAAAAATTTGAAATAAAATTACAGGGCATAATAAATATATGTACATACATGCATATGCACGTATGATTTTTTGTAATATCAGCTCATTAAATATTAAAAATAACGTTCACAAAATCTTATATAACTACTGTATTAAGGTGAATTTAATTTTTTAAGACTTTTACATATTTTTGAAGCCAACAAATTTTTATGTTAAGAAATATATTATGTCAAGACATAAATTATATGATAACAATTTTTTTTTAGCAAAGTTATCAATTTAAGTGAAATTTCCCACTTATAGAAACTTTATGCCAAGCCATATTTGATGTTCAAACACTTAGTTTTCCGGCGATACAACATTTAAAGCATCAAAAAATTTAATTTATGTTAGTATGCTTAGAAACTTTGTATTTTTAGAAATATTTAATATCAGCAATGTTCAATATGAAAATAAAATTAATAGAAAATATTTTATGTTAAGTCATTTTTTATTTTAGAAATATTTTTTTTTGTCCAAGCGTAGTAAAAAGTAATGATTATTGTTTACAAAATATTAGTATTTAAATTATAAAAAAAAAATCTTTTGTGTTAGGCCTATAATCTGTCATAATTATGCATTTATGTTAAGCCATATTTGAGTTTTGGGCAGAAAAAGAATATTTAAAGCATCGTAATGCTTAATCTTTACTTTTATATATAATATAACACATACATACATATGAATGTATATTCTGTTAGGCATAATTCATGTCAAATAAAAATTTTAATTAAGTAATATTTCCCAAAGCTTTAAGCTTCGCAAAATTTTAAGCCTCACATCAGTTTTTGTATGCCTAACAAATTTGCATGTTTAGAAAAAGTGTAAAATGATTATTGCGCACAAATTCTTGTAAATAAAACGTTTTATGTCTAGATATAATTTGTGTTATTCTTTATTTTCAAAAGTGGTTACTTCAATGTTTACTTTTTAATAAAATTTTATGTCGTGTCATATTTAATGTTATAACATATTGTTTAACAATGCAAATATATGTTTAGCAATAATTTAAGTTTCGCAAACATTTCAGTCTTCCCATCAATTTTCACATCTTGCGCGCTACAAAGTAGATATGTATATGGTATGTGCGTATATAAAGAAACATTTTGAGTTGAGCAATGCTTATGTTCAGCCATATTTATTTCTATAGCAATTTTCGAAAACTCTTATGGTCAACAAAATGTAAAGCATCACAAAGTTAATTTCTTACTTTACTGCGCTAAAAAGCATATTATGTTAAGGCATAATTTATGGTAAGACACATTTTTCTTGAAATAAAATTTTATATTAAGCTCATGATGCTTAGATTTTTAGTTTCGTAAGATTTTATATTTAACACATCGTAATGTTTAGACATAACTAACATTCAAAAATTTTGTTCAGTGGCAATGTTAAATGCTCAGCAAAACTTTAATTGCGATTTTCGGCCGAACTCCTCCCTCAATTTGTTGATTTGTGTCTTGATGTTTTTCCAACAAATCGAGGGACCTATAGTTTATACTAAGCCGCCTCCGAATGGCCAATAGATTTTCATAAGGAGCTTCATTTTCATATCAGAAATACAGTACGACGAGAGGATTTGAACCCGAGCCCTCCGAATGGCAGTACGCAATGCTAACTATTCTTTTACGGCGGCCATAAACTTAACAATGGTTATGAATAATTAATAACATCATTTTCTTAGAAACATTTAGTGTTAAGAATTGTTAATGCTAAGCCATATTTAAATAACAAATCTACTTTATGTTAAGCCACAAAGTATGAGAACACAAATAATATTGAAAACGGTTAAGTAAACCTTCTGTTGTACAATATTATTTTTTAATTCATAAAAAAATTCTATTAATAAACATTTTATGTACGATATAAGAACTTTTAAATTTTAGAAATAATTTAACAAATACGACAATATGTAATATTTACTCTATTATTTTAAGCAAAGTTTTATGTCCAGACAAAGTTCACGTGAGAACAAAATATATGTTAAAACAAAATTTATTTCAAGGCAAAATTTATGTTGATACATATTTTATGTAAATAATTATTTTAAGACATAATTTATGTTAAAACAAAATTTATTCCAAGACAAAATTTATTTTGAGACATAATTTATGCTAAGACATAATTTATTTTAAGACATAATTTATATGATGTCAAAATTAAGTCACTCTTATGAAACGAAAATCGATATTTAGTTTAGTTCAAGCTAGTTTTTTGAACTATATTTAAAGCAATTGTAAAATAATTAATGTTTAGCAACATTTGATGATAAGCAAGAATTCATGTATAGAAATATTGTCTACTCAATAATATTGCTGAAAAAAGTTCAGTATCTTTATGGTATTTTTCGATTATTTGGTTTCTTTTATCAGAGAACCAAATCAACAATTATAGCGTAGACGATGTTTGAAGCATCCATCCAAGTGGCTACCACTAAGTGCGTGAACATATGTACATACATATAAATACTTGTTTACGCTTAAAACTCTTTTTGGGCTAATCGAAAATAAAGTTGACACCTACTTGAACCCCCAAATTCAGTGCGATAAGTGCGATGTGCTATTAGATAAATATGTCGTTTTGACATATCTAAGTGAAAGGAATTGTCCTTTTGTGTAAAATAAGAAATAGAAGAAATTTATGATATTTGCAAAAAGAGCTCAAGTGTATTTTGCTCAATTTTTCCTAACCAAATTCGAAAGTCGTTACTGCTGACGAGTCTTGGTTCTATAAGTACGATCCAGCAATCAAACAGCAGTCCATGGTATGGAGCCCAACAGGAGCAAGCGCAACCGTAAAATCTAAGCAACAAAAACCAGCAGCAAAAGTAATGATGCCAGTTTACTTCCCCCGATCTAAAATCGTAGCTGCTATTCCACTGGAAAAGCGTCAGACGGTAACTGCAAAATGATACACCGAAGAGTGCTTACCAAAAGCTTTCAAAAACTTCTTGGCAAACTGGAAGAAAAAGGATTTGTGGCGCTATTTTCTTCATCATGACAACGCGCCATCTCACATTGCTGAAATAACGGGAATTTTTATAGCGATATCTGGGATGGACTGCCAGGGTTGAAAAGGTGGACCTTGGGCTACTGTGCAAACCTCCGTAACATTATAAAAGAGGACCCACATGGTAGTGTCCTCTCGCTGCTTCTGTTTAATTTCTCAAGAAAACCTAATTAAGACGTCGATATTGTAGTCGACTTATTTCTTACTTATACAGACTTGACCCCTTCATATGCAATGTATGTCCACTACTTCTTTGCAAGCCAATTGAAACCCACTCATCTAACCCCTTTCAATCTAGTCCCATCAGCCATTAAGTCTTCCCCTTCTCATGCTTTCACAAGATAGTACCACCGAACCGAACAACAAATGGCACTCTCGCCCTAAATCTTGTACAGCTCATCGATTACGCCACGTTGCCGTATATCCCTACGGTTCATAGTTCCATCATCTTCGCAAAGTACCATAATAAATATTGTACCTTGAAGGCTTTCTCTCGGTAACTCCGAGTAGCGACTAATCCAGGTCTCCGCGGCATAGAGTAGTACGAGTTTAATGAGCATTAACCTGGGAGCCAAAACGCGAATGTGCTGACTGTTTGTTTAATGATAAAAGATACTTTGAATCCTGTATGTTGTTGTTGAACGCCATGTAGGTAGGTATGCTGAACTTGTTTCTGGGCGTCAGCTTACACCGAAAGCGCCCCCTAAAAATTCGAACTCAACCAAAGTATAGTGGGCTCCCAAAGGACATGCCTTAAGATTTAGAAGAACCTCTTCTTGCCGGCAACCTTTGCAGAAATCGTTAGATGATATGCCTAACTGGACTGCGTGTACGCAACATGCGACTTCTCCATTTGAGTTAGCATCTTTGATAAATAACTCTCCCCAGAGTGAGTAAATAGCTGAAAAGCGGCATGCCCAAATCTTCCATAACGGTGTGGAAAGGTAGGGAAGCGCTCTTCTTTAACAAACTCGTCCGTCATCTCATTACCAGCTATTTTACTGTGTCCAGTTATCTATACCAGATTTAAAGAGAACTACTTGGTCAACACATTAACTGATCTGCGGCAATTTTCCACTTTTTTTCAATTTTACAGTTACAAATGCTCTTAATGCGACCAGGATGTCCGAAATGATGTGAATACCATTTTCTGTGGGCACCATTGAGCAGAGACAATCGACAGGCTCATTCTGTCCGAAAAACAATACAGTTGTCTGGTAAACGAAAGGAAAGTTCCAAGCTCCCATAAGTAAACTCCACCACCACCGAGCTAGTTATCTTGGCTCCAATGCAAGCCATATAATTCTAAAACGAACTTGGCGTTCTTCAGCAGGTTGTGTGCAAAAGACTCCAGTCAAGGTTAAATCATTTCAGAAGTGGAATTATATAAGAATCGAACTGCTATTAAGGCAGCAACCTTAATTGTTTGCTGGGATACATTTCGATTGAAATAATAACGAAAATATGGAAATATTTGTGCACTCTACACAGTTAAATAATATTGTCACAAGCAATCACATTCAACGTGTTAATGATAAACCAAATAATGCATCAATATATTTTAGGTAAAGAAATCTCTGATATGTTATGTCTCAAGTTGATTGGGCCCCCCTCAAATCGAGTATGTGGGGTGTTTGCCTGTCGTCCACTTGATGCGATCTTGAGAAAATTTCGATCGTGATAAATTTTTGTTTTTCTCTACACTCTACTTTGTCTTATTGTAAATCGATGATGATGTTCTATCGCCGTGATTTTATATACAAATGAATTTGCTAAATTACAAAGCAGTCGTTCTAGAGTTTCGGAGTTGTAAAGTTGTCGCGCTTTCGCCAGAAAAAAGTACAAAAAATATTAAAAAAAAAAATTTAACTTTAACTATTATAAAAAAAAAATGTTCTCTTCTGCAAATAAATCCACCATTTACGGTATCCTTTTGTTACTTTCGCTTGTTTGGTGCAATGTAAAGGCCGATGATAATTCGGTTGATCCCGCGACACCTCGCACATGCTACAGTTGTGAGGGCATAAATTGTTTGCGCGTGACAAAAGTGAATGAAACCACCGTATGCACGGATTTATTGGATTATTGTGTCACAGTTTTTAGAGGATGTAAGTGTTGAGGATAAAATAAAAGTGTATTTTGTGCCGTTAAGTGCAAAAAAAAAAAATCAAAAAAGAAAATATATGCAAAAATTTTCAAAGTACCAGCATCAGCTGAGCAACTACATTTCATGGCCACGATTATATTTATATATTCTTGAAGGTTACGTTTAGTTGAATATCGCTCGAAATGAGCTCGCATCTATGCTTCCAAGATGCTGTTGCTATTGCATTATTGACCCTGTTGAGGAATAGCAACCACTGGTCCTTGACTAGAAAACGAGCTGTCAGGTGTATAGCTTTTAGTGTCTTGCACTGACTCATTGCTTGCTGGGCATACGTTATGTCCAAAAGAGTATGCAGGTCTTAGCTGTGCCATATTTACTCGGGTCTCACGTGGAAACTTGAACTCGTCGTTCTAATAGGTTGTAGTCGGTTTTTAATGGGCACAGGTAGCGAATGAGATTTATGTGCTGATTGATCCTTTGTATACTGATACCAATTTTGTAAGGTATTATTACGTAGATTCCGGTAGTCTTGTACTTCAAGCTAGATGGGGCTATGCTTTAAGTTGGTATCTGCTGAGTGCTACTGCAGTAATCGTTAGGCAACTTAACCGGATACATAGATATCTTACAGTGAGTGTGGCATCAGAAATTTTCTTGTTATGGTCCGCAAGATAGAGTTTTGTAGGGATTGTAGCGCTCCCATCCGCGTGGCGCTAGTCTTCGACATACAGATTAGTCCAGCCATATCCCTTAGATAATCATAAAAGCTGAATTTCGCCAGTCTATATTGCGAAAAAATTATCGTAGTGTAGTGAAAAAATTGCGTACTTACAGCGCACGATCATCATCGCTTACATCTTACCAGCTGAGGTCGCCTCTGCACCGAATCTTTATGAATAGAGACCTCCGGCATACTTGAGAACTTGACTTTTATTGTTAAGAAATATGACAAGATTGGATGCAGGGATGCCTTAACCTGATATGTATATGGGCTGTGCGATATAGAATCAGCGTCATTGGCAGAGCTCGTCTGGAAGCCTTACTGATAGAACAGAAACTTTATCCTTCATAGTAAACTCAGTCACGCGAGCGAAACCGTGAGGAGATTATGCATTTTTGAGCTGTTTACGTCGTAAAAGAACATCGAAGAACGTAGTTAGCGTGGAGTGTCTTAAGGTGGGAGTTAGTTGACAGATGCATTGATGTTCCGTGAAAATGGTTAGGCCTTCATTTCGTCGGTTAAGCGCTTTACCATCTGAGAATACAATGGCGCAATGCATAAACTCTATCCAATTACAACAGATAGTCCACTTCCGGGAGCGAAGACATCTCACTTTATGGAAAAGTGTTACATCTGTTCATAGAAGATTGGGTTCAAACAAGAAGCAGTACCGAAGACATTCTTCCAACGAGTTATTGACTGAGATATGTTGATTAGATTATCTTATCACAATCTGAAGCTCACTTCCATTAGTTTTGTGGTTCTTACTAAAAACTTATTAGGCGAGCAGGACGCATGTTGCTAGACCGATAATCCTTCGTAAAGCCTAACTTCCGGGCTGACTGGTGTATTACCTTCCCATAGTAAATTCTCACTTGGGATTAGCCCGAATAAAGGTTTTATTTTTCGAAAGGACGTTGCAGACAATATGTTTTCTTCCTCATCGTCATGCTTGTCTACCAAATTAATAGACGTTTATTGCTTTTTGAGTATTATTTATGTATATAACTTTCAGTTGAAAGAAAGTCATTATCTCTTCTCCTATCTCTACAGTTACTGTTGTCGCACGCGGCTGCTATGGAGATTTGCAGTCCAGCTATCGTGACAAATGCGATTTAAACGATCATCCGGAGTGCATGAAATGTTTCGGTAATCGTTGTAATGACAAAGGCCGCGCCGATTTCAAATGTATTGAGTGCAAGTCGAGTGAGGTAAGTAGCAATTTTCTCTCTTCTACTGAATTAATAATGTATCTCTCTCTCTCTCTCTCTTTCTCTCCCGCACCACGCCGCTTTTAGGACAAAAAATGCGCTACCGAAACCAGCGCCATGACCGCCGTTCAATGTCCCGTGCCAACTGCTCAGAATTCTTATTGTTTCGTACGCGAGTCCGCCGATGAGGGCACGATCCGTGGCTGTTTCGTACATCAGCGTGATCAGGAGGAGTGTCTCAGCGATACCAAGTGCTCAATGTGTTTGAGTGATGACGCGGAGGCATGCAATTCTTACAAAGTGTTGACAGCAGAGACGGCGGGTGTTAGCGGTGTATTTAGTAATATGAATGTTATTGCACCTACCGTTATTCTAACGGTATTAGCTTCTCTAGTGCGTTCAATATAAATGAAGTATATATTAATTATACGTATGTACTCGTATGTATCTCTTTTTAGTCAAGGATTAATAGTAGTTTCTAAGTATTTGATAAACAGTATTAAACACAAAATTCTCGAGATAAAGAATTGTAATAAAATTTATAGCTGGTAAATCCATCGCGATAATAAACCAATGGTAATGATTAGAGTTCGTCGGCCGCAATAGCCGAGTGGTTAGCAGTGCGGCTTGCCATTGGGAAGACCTGGGTTCGAGTCCTGGTTCGATTTAAGTGCGGTCGCCCCTCGATAGGAAATGTCAACCCCTCCGAGTGTACGTATATTTCTGACATTGAATAAAAATTTATTCATAAAAATCCAACCGCCGTTCGGAGGCGACTTAAGTAACCTGCAGATGCCTCCATTTGTTGGAAAAGCATCAATAGGGAAAACCACAAATTGGAGCAGGAGCTCGGCCGAAAATGAATTCAACGGTGAGAAACTGGTATTTACGTGTAATGATTAGATTCTTAGATAGGGCTAAACTATTGTACATACATATATGCATAGCAATTACTAAAGAATATAACATCTAATCACGTACACCCCGCCAAGTTCTTTGAGGGTAAAAAGAAACTGGTCATTGAGCTTTTGTGAATAATCTTAGTGAAAGCCTTCAGGATCACTATCGATTTACGACAATCAACATCAAAAGACCAATCAATCGGGTTGTTGTCTGAGTATTGCTCTGAATTTCATCATACAAATTCATTGGCCGTTCAGAGGCGGCTTAGAATAAATTGTACGCACATCATAAATGAGAAATTGCCTCTCTGGACAGTGCTGATGTGTTTTTCATCCGGGGAAGGGCAATGAAGTTATTGCTTCAAAGAGTGGTTTCTGTTAAACAGGCCTACCTTTATTCAAGACAATACACTCTCTGCGGCGTCTGGAGGTTGGCTCATCGCGTTGCCTCAATTAGTCGCTTTTAAGCTTTCTGGTTCGTTGTGATACCTATGAAGGGACCTGCGCAAAAGTGATTCCTTTCGCCGTCTTAGATGTTCAACTCATTTAGTGTGTTTCTTGAAGTTCAAAAATAGTGCTTAAGTAAGCTCTGCAAGACAGTCGAAATCAAAATTTCCGAGGAAGACATGTCGCGTGAAATGGCCTTAATATCGCATATAAGGTCCTATCGAGTGTATTTTGTGAAAGGCTAAATCCCATCGTAAACAATCTGATTGGACCTGGTAAGTCTACCATAGACCAAATTTCAAAGCAGACCTCGGCAGCACGAATATGCACTACCTTTACGCTATTATGGCTGAATTTGGTATGCCCGCAAAGCTAATACGGCTTTCTTAACTGACATTAAGAAACACTTAAAGCTCCGTCAGGATCGGCAAGGACCCCTCCGAGCCGTTCGATACCAAACGAGTTTTCAGGTGTGACTTCTTTAATTCGATGCCGGAGAAAGTAATACGAGCTTCAGAGCTGAATAGAGAAGATACAATCATCTATAAGAGTGTACAGCTGCTGGCGTACGCCGATTACATTGACATTATGGCCTCAACCCCATCTCGACGAAGTAAACCCAAATTCTACAAATTGCTCATCCCAGACTGAAACGACTGAACTCAGGATATTCACTGCATGTCGTCCTATAAAGCTAGGCCACTCCTAAAACCTTAGGATGTTCTATCTTTTGAGGGATTATATTTCGTGCGGTCGCAATTCGGTCAGGATTGCTTAGAAATCCTGTAAGTAGCAGTATGCTTCCATCTTCATTCCGCCTGGTCATAAGTAAAGTATTTGAGTAGCAGTTTGCATGTAGCAAGAGGTATATCAAAGCGTTCTTTCTGGCAAAGTATCTGTTTAGTCGGGCCTAGCTAGACAAGTTCGTCTGCTTTACGATTTCCCTCTATGTCCTCTGACTACGAACGCAAATGATAGATAATCTGATCTCTACTGCAGAAATTGACATCTTGTGAAGAATAATTATAAAGTTCACAATAAGTACATATATATATCTTTATTGAAAAACTGTGTGAAAAGTAGTAGAAAAGAATTGAACGGCCTATTCACAGTAGTCATACCTGCAGACTTATCGATAATTTATCGAAGTAGCGTCAATGTTTAATTGCTAACGAAATACATGGAATTGTTGACAATAAAATTCCAATTGGACGAAAATAACTGTAATAAATATAAATTTATATATATCCATTTCGCGGTTTCATAAGTAAGAGGCTATATTTTGACAACTATCAAACTTAACTGTCAAAGCAAACTTGTTTGCTTTTTGTTAAAAATCAGGCATTATGAAAATGGAGCGCTTAATAACCTCACAAAGCGTAGAAATTGCTAAACCTAAGAAACAGACATATGGTTCACGTAAACCCGAACGTTTTTGTCTGACCCTTTACTTTATATGGATATAGCTGTAAGTCTAAAGCGCTCACAAGCGTTGGGTGTTTCTTATGGCAAATCCTGCAGCATTTTGCACCTGGACTTACACCTACATCTATATAAATTCTAGGTTCAGGCAAAAAATGAAACTAGCTGACCATTTACAACACCATAAATATGTATGTCGATTGCTTGCTTAAGCAAAAACCAATGTACGATTACTTTTCGAACAAAACTTTCTTCAGCGACTGAAGGCACATTTTTCTACACAGGCAAAATTGTCGCACTTGTGGCTTCGAAGTCCTCAAATAATTGAAGAGAAACCATTATACCAAAAAAAAACTTATTGGCTGGCACACTCTTTGGGCCGGAGATGTGATTGGGCATCAATTCGGTGTGTAATGATCGTATGATAACCGACTTTTTTTTAAGCTACAATTGAATTATATTTGGACAATATGTGGTTTCAACAAAATGGTGCCACATGCCACACAACACAACCAAATGTGGTTTTATAGCGAGAAAAATATCTCATCTTGACGGTGTCAGTTGGCCACCGAGAACGATTATTTTAATTACGATTATTTCCGAATCCGCAATATGTTCAAACCTCTATAGTAATACAATTAAATTTATGTAGCAATAAATAATACTTGTATTTTTAATTATAAAAAAAAAATTAATAATAAAATATGGAATATTGACTTTTTGAGCATTCTTCATACTATTTGAATTTAATCTCTTGGATTTACCAAGACTAAATGATGAAATTTCTTATACTACTAAATTTAAGGAAATTATCGAAATATTTGTTGTTAATTGACATAATAAGTGCTGCTGATAAGTTTTTCAATTATGACATCCCAAGCCAATGTGTTTATGTGCTTAGCGAATAAGTTTTCGGACTTTTTATTTAAGCAAAAAAATGTGGACACTTTATAAGTGCTTCAAAAATTTACGACAGCTATATTATTTTTCAAGTATACATATATGTATGTATATGAGCCTGAACAAAATCTAATTTATAACATGAAAAATTACTTGCAAAACTTCCTCATGTGATATACGTACGTATAACTGTGTACAAGACGTTCATAAACGAGTAGAGGTATTTTCCCGATATTTTACAATACAAAGGCTTCAGCAATCTGAAATTCTAAAAATATTTCCAAAGATGGACTTACTTTTTCACCGTGAATACGTGTACATTCATTCAAGGTTATGCAGTTGAGTAATATTTAAATATTTTCCCGATTAGGTGAGCGCCTACGCTGTCGTCTTTTATGGAGATAGTCGACAGCTCTGTTTGAGCTTATAAGCTGAGAAATAAATCTATATTTTCATAGAATCTAATTTATAAAATGCAATTGAGTTCATTTGAGGGTATGTTTAGCAAAGGAACTGATCTAATGAGGATATGCAGTAGGGTCGTTACAGATGGTGCCTTTGGTGAACTCTTTGAATGTAGAATACAGCTTATATATGTATGTATACACTTTGTAATCGCTGAAGCTATTTTCGGCCGAGCTCCTCTTCCATTTTGTGGTTTTGAGTCTTGTTGTTTTCAAGAAGAAATAAATCGCATACAAATGAATGTTAAGGCCAAGAATTTAGCTTGTGAATGATCGCAGCGGCTGGCCCGAATAAATTCCAGCAGAGACTTTCGACTACTTTTCGCAGCACTCGTAGCCGTATGTCAGCAATAACGAGCCGAATGTTGTCTTTTAAAACACCAATCGCCTCGGGCTTCTCTGCGCGACTTCACATAACCCTAAAAAAAAATAGTTCAGCGGTGTTGAATCGCATGATTCTGGAGGCCATGTCAAAACGGCGGAGGCTCACCAAAAGTCTCCCTGAATAAATTGAGTTTTCGTTGACTGTATCTCAAGTAACACCGTCTTGTTGGAACCAAAGCTCGTGGATATCAAAATCCTCCAATTTAGATCCGAACAAGTCATAGTTTATGTATTGTCATAAGCGTTCTCTACCAACTTTAACATTACTAAATATGGACCAATGATTTCCTTTGGCCATAGAGTCAAGTAGTCACTTTTTGAGAATGTCTCAACAACAGTTTGCTACCACCCGAAATGCGTCAGTTTTGTTTATTTACCTACTGATTTGAGAGAATATCAAAGGTGAGCTGCATCACTGAAGAAATACCTTCTTATGAAAGTCGAGATCACTGAAGAAATACCTTCTTATGAAAGTCGAGATCGGTGATCATTTCGTTTTGGACCCATTAACCAAACGTGCAATGGCCTTAATGGTTATTTGGCTTCAATTTCTGCACGAGTTGGATTTTGTGCCCCGCAAACCAAAATCCTTCCGTAAAATCTTCCATAAAGTGAACTACTAGCGCACGATGGCGGATGGACTCACACCGATCTTCTCCGGCACTCTTTTGCTTTCTAGCAAAAGCGATAAAATTGAAGCAAATATGACTGATTATATCTGTTGCGTAAAAGTAAAGACTAAGCGGGGACATAATAGGTCTTGGAAGTCATATTCCAACCCGAATATCCAGACGCCAAAGTGTTTTAGACAATAGAGCTTAACCCTTCGGCTAAACGTATATATATCCAGTGTGGCTATCGCCAATAATGACTTCGGTAAAAATGCTCCTACAACAGTCATAAATGAAGGAACTGAAAGCAATGAGCACGTTAAACCCGCCGTATTCTACAAATGGAACACTTTACAGGAAGCTCTTCCGGGGTTAAAAAAAATTTTACTCCCTGTTTGATAAAATTTTCCCCAACACAAACTATTCAAGCATATGTAGTCTTTATGCGAATGCTATTTTAGAGTTCATTTGTAAGCAGCGAATGGTCAAATAGTCTCTCTTCAAACGGCTAGCCTCTCTTGGCTCGCACTCTGTGACTTAGTTTTACTCTCGCAATTGATACAACAACTTTTTCCACAACTACTTCCTTTACACATCCCTCCCACTTGGAAAACGTGACCAATGCTGCATGGAGACACTCTACAAATGCGAACCATCAAACTGATATTGGTACCTTAGCTGAATACTAGTGGGCAACGTTCGGATGTTTAGTTGGTTGAAAGAGGAGATTTAGGATGTGATCGCAAGTGACCGTACATAAGCCATTGGGTAACCTTATTGCGCTTCTTTGCTCATCTTAACTACGCCCTTGCAAATAGTTCCCTTAATTTTATGAATTGTTTCAATTTCTTCCAACCACCACCGCAAAGAGAGAGGTTGGAGTATAGTGAAAGATGTGACGTCTCAATCGGTTGAAGACCGTACACTCGTAAAGGTAGTGCTTCAGTATTTCGTCATCCACTGTACATTTTCAAGCGTACACTAGGGATATTTACCCGCGTCTCTTCTTCTTTAGGTTCTCTCATCATACTAGTACACCATAGGTTAGTATTGATCTCACAATACTTCTGTCCGAAATACTTGACCTAGTTGGTGGACATTTCTTTTTAAGTATGTTGGTTTAAGTTGGTGAAATGAGGGTCCTCATCGTGGAGAGGTAGATCTCAGCTTTTTCAGCGTTCACAATTAGCCCTTGTCTCTCATTTCTTCCGATGGATGGCACTGGCCATCCTCTATTGAAGCTATCTTTCGACCCACAAGTGTTTTCGTGGATAAGTGGAGTCAATAAATGAGATCGTAGCGGTGGTATTTGATTTATTAAGAGTGGCTTACTCTCATATATTATTTAACTTTTTTACATACTTTTTTTTTTGGTAAAATTTCCACAATTCTTATTTTAAAAATTTATGATTAAAAAAATGCTTCCATCAATTCTTCGTGCATTATACCTCGAAAACTGGCGTAAAATTTCATGGGATCACGAGAACCTTTAAACAGTAAACTTTCAAGCAATGATCCTATGTGACTTTGGTCACTTCCCCAAAACCGTAACTCCGAAACTTTTATTCTGATTGATTTCAAAGGATAGAATAATATTCACGAGATATTATAGAAATTAATAAGGCAATAAAATATCTGTTTTTTTTAGGGTGTGAAAATCATATAACCCCAAAAAAGAACTTCGACTTCAGTTGATCGCTTGCTCAGTACTATCGCAATCACAGCCATCACTACGGATGACCAACAGTGAACTTTTATGGTTTTAAGGACCTTCAGGCAACCAGATTGTACTAAAACATGCGCTATATCGGGTAATCGTCTTTGGAAGGACTGTAGATTATTTTTTCTTCTCCGTAAGGCCTCTCCACGATGGCCATTATACGCTAACTTAACCTATTAATTTAAAGCTTCAATGCAAAGAATTCATGCTCAGATGTAAAGTGTTTGAAGTAAAAATGATGACAAATAAATTTATAGCAAAATCTCTTATCTCAAATTGATATTGAGTTGCCCAAGGTCAACTAATCGTTCACTAGGAATTACTAATGGTATAAAAACAGTATTTGAGAAGTTAAGATTTTAAATCACAAGGGGCATTTTTTTAATACTTCAAAGAGAATACGATAACAAATGTAATAGCATTATTCGCAAGCACTTTTTCGCTTGACAACTGAAGTGCTGCAACACTTGAAAAAATGTCAACAAAGTGTTGGAAAATTACGAAGAGGAAACATTTGAGCTTACACCAACAGCAGAACAGCTGACGCTATCAATTGAAAATCTATAAAAGTAACCAGCAAAGCGTGTTTCAGCTGATTAGCCCAACGAAATGTATCGCCGCATAGAACAACTCGCCGTTGCAACGCTGTTTGCGCTCGCCTTACTAGTCCAGCATAGTGGCGCTACAGAACAGCCAAGGACATGTTACACCTGTGAGGGTATCAATTGCCAAAGAACTTCGATCATGAAGGAGCAAAAGTGTTTAAATAGCTTGGACTATTGTGTGACTGTGTTTAGTAAATGTAAGTGGAAAGAAGGGAGGCGAAGAGTTTTAGGAAAGTTTTTAATGAATTTTTTACATAATGAAATTTCAAGAAATTTTATGGCATTTTACATATAGTATTTTAACACAAACATTTACGCTAACTAACTTTCAGTTACCGTTGTGCAAAAGGGCTGCTCCCTCGAGGTGCCAATTGAGCTGCGCCGTCGCTGTGATGCCAACACGGTCGAGTGTCATAAATGCAACACGGATCGCTGCAACAATTTAGGTCAACCGAATTATCTCTGCTTGCAGTGTGACTCCAGCAATGTACGTACACCAATCACAAAACAAATGTGTACATTTATTTACTTGAAAAAAAAAAAAATCTCATATTTCTAGGATGCCAATTGTGCCAATAATGTGAGCGCTCTCACGCCTATGCGCTGTTCCTCACCGACCGCAACCAACTCGTATTGCTTTGTGCGTTATGACGGCGGTGTCACCACACGTGGCTGTTCCACAACTTTGGCCGATCAACGTAGCTGCTATGCGAATGCCAATTGTCTGCTTTGCTCACCCGGTGACTTCAAGGGCTGCAACAGTGTGGACTTTCAACCCGGCACGCGCGCTCTGAGACTTTAGGGAGTGTTGTGTGAATGTTATACTATGAGTGGTTTTGTGTATGTCTTTGTAAACTTTAAAGAAGCTTTTATGTTCGAGTATAATAAATAAAATATTAATTAAGAGGTTGCATTTGTAATGATTCCGAGTTTTTATTTGACGAAAGAAGGCGGACTTTTTTTATTTTTTTTTTTGGAAAAGTGGGCCTGGTAAGAGCAATTATTTCCATTACTTTTGGGTAAACTGGCACAAAATAACAGGTGTTAGCTGATAATAATTCTACGAACCTGAGTGATATTAGCCGAATTGTGCTGAGATGTTTCCTTTTACATGATTTTCCTACAAAAAGGTGCACAGTTTAAGCTGCCTCCAAGAGTTCAATTGATTTTTATGAGACAGTTCTATTTCCAGAAAAATATTCCTACCCAGTGATGTGGGTCTGACCGAGTTAAGTATCTATGACTCTCAGCCTAGTAGCTTCAATATCGTCTTAGAGCTCTCAAATTGATTTTAACCTCGTTGAAGACGCGAAAACGAGTGACAAATAACAAAATAAGTTAAGAAGTTTTGCCTTGGAAACTTTGGGATACCTACACATAAGGCAACAAAGTGACTTTCAATCCGCCATAGACACTAATAGTGCCCGAATCCAGAAATGTTAGTCACGGCTGAGATTTGGCCCCCAGCTCGTATCAGATGAGTTTAGTTGAATACAAGTATTTGATACTTCAGTTTGGGAGTCCGGAAAATGATCAAAGGAATTATTCTTTCATTTCATTTTTGGGTTTTGAGCTAACTTTTATATTCTGCCCTTTGGTTGGTTGGTTGGCTTAAAAGTGGAGGACGAGAACCTAATTGCTGATAGAAACTCTTAGTGCCCGGTAGTCGCTGCTGAAGTTTGATTCCCTAATCGTATCAGATTGATTTCGTTGAATACAAGTATCTGATACCTCAGGTCGGGGGTCCGGCGAATAACCATTGGGCTACTCCATGAGATTTTCGCATTAGATTTTAATTGTTTGGGGTTTAAACTCACTTATTCACTCTGTCTATTTGTTGATTGGTTGGTTTAAGAGCAGGGTAAGGACCTGAGCACTTTGAGTATGCTCACGGTGCTTCCTAGCTTAAGCGAACTATGTGTTAGTGAAGTTCACTAGAGAATACAATGAACGTCTTTTAACTACCTTCTTGAATGCGCTCACAAATTTGATCGGTACTTGGCTTTCAACAAGAAACTAATGAATTTCCTCGTTAATCGCATAATTTCATGGTATAGTCTTTGGTAGCCCAGTTAAGTACATAGCAGGATAGTCTCTCGTGCAAACCTTCATATTCTCCCTGATATTCCTCAAATTACTTTGAGTCGAAGTATAAGCGTGCCGAAGAACTAACTGTCTCCTTACATCAGCCTTATAGGTCTGACCCAGTTCCTACATAATTAGACTCTTAAGTTGAAGGTAGGCAAAATTTCCTTGGTTCTTTTTAATACACTACAGCACTGTTGCGGCGGGGTAAAGAATTTAAATCTTCTCTTATGTTACTAACGTTCATCTGAACTGGTTTTCAGTGGCGAATACCGTAGACGATGGAATGAGGAACGACTAGTGGTTCAGCGAATTAAGAGACAGTGGCTTCCCTAGCTAGGTTAAGCTGTCGCAATGTATGAAAACACTAGAGATTTAAAAGTATACGATGTAGCAAACGCCGGTGAAAGCAGAGAAAGAGTAAGAAAAAGGATCAGCTGGAGAACGACCTGTTTTCCCTTCGTATACCCAATTGCCGGCAAACAGCGAAAGGAACAGCGCGCTGTGTTGCTTTGGTTATAATGGCGTAAGCGGTGCCTACGGTTACATAAAACAGCCGAGTGTTTAGCTTTGGGTACTAAATTTCACAAGACAACGGATCGAGTTCTGAACAAACTTCCAATTATAATGAATTATAGAAAAGTATTCTCATGGCGGTTCAGCGAGGTATGCTCAGCCCGCCAGGTATATTATTGATATAAAATAAAAGCTCGTCATCAAAAATCTATCGACCTTTCGGAGGCAGCTTGGTATAAACTGTATGGTGGTATCCCAAATCGTTGGGACAACATGAAGACTCACACCACGAACCCGGCAAGAAATCGCTGCACCCGTACACCTAAAGTTGACGTGATCTGCTGCTTAACGACTTGCAACCGTCGCCGTCGAACTCAAGTTAGTTAAATTCTTCAGGTTTTGCTTAGGCTTGATAACCGCGCAACTCTTACTCGATAATGCTGGACGAAAAAACCCCAGGCAAAAGCTGAATAATTTAAGCGAAAAAATCCATGCAGATAAAGCGATCAGTGATTGATTTCATGATAGTTTTGCTTTTGTATGAACATATGTATACACATATAGTGTAGTGCCGTGGGTTTTTGAATGAATATCATCCGCGGGAAAATTCTTGCCAAACAATCTAAGAGCACTTCAGTATTATCTATGAGTATTTTCTCTATCTAATTTCATTATCAGTGCTTACTGTCGTGCATACTCACATTTGTATTTACATCGTTGTGAATGTAAACACTTGTGTTATCGAAAACAATGATATTAATTGAAAAAATTGTAAATGATTTAGTCAACATTTAAATTACAAATGTATGTTGAAGTGTTTTTTTAACACAAAATCATCTATAAATATAAGTTTCGTAGAAAAGGAACAGGTTATTTGCCGAACGAACCGTGAAGATAACGGTAAAAAAAATCCCAGATAAAATGTTGGAATGCAGAAAAAGGACATTTAGGACGTTGCTGCATGCCTTGCTTGCTTTCCTACTCCTACAAGCACTGATCAACCCTGCCGACGCTGCGGCGAAATGTCACAAATGCACCGGAATCAATTGTCAACGTACGACGTTCGCGGCGACAGAGGATTGCCTCGATGCGCTGGACAGTTGTGTGAGCGTCTTTGATGGATGTGAGTTAGTTTTCGATGGACAGCAAAGATTCCTTTTACTTACTAATTTTTTTATCTTCTCCAAATAGCTACCGTACTCGCACAAGGTTGCCTAGGGCAGCTGACATCTGAGTTGCGCAACAAATGTGAAGTGTCAACAACCGAGTCAGCTGACCCCGACGAAATAGCTACTGATGATGGTGAAGCCCTGCCGACAACAAATCAACAATGTTACCAGTGTCGTGAAGATTTGTGTAACAATGTGAGCGCCGATGGTTTCGAGTGTGTACAATGTGACTCAGATGTGGTAGGGGCTTAAATTTCTAGAGTGCTTATGTACTTCCAAGGTAACAGCCGATTTTGTATTTTTAAGGATGGGAAATGTGCTAGCGATACTGAAGGTTTACCAACCGAAAAATGCCCAATTGGAAAGGCAGTCAACTCTTACTGCTATGCAAAGCTGGCGGGCAAACATGCCACACGTGGTTGTGCTGTGGATTTAGTACAACAAAAGGAATGTTTAAATAGCAATGACTGTGTACTTTGTACGCCCACCGATATTGCTGGCTGTAATCGGGAGCCAAAAGTGGCTGCCGGTGATGGCGGAAGTGGTGGCTCTGACTCTGGCACAGGTGGTGATGGTGATTCGAATTCCGGTGGCAGTGGCAGCTCCGATTCTGGCTCAGGTGGCGGTGGTGGTTCGAATTCCGGTGACAGTGGCAGCTCCGATTCTGGCACTGGCGGCGGAGGTTCGAATTCCGGTGGAAGCGTTGGCTCAGACTCTGGCGCAGGTGGTGGTGGTGGTTCGAATTCAGGTGGTAACGGCGGTTCAGACTCTAGCGCAGGTGGGGGTGGTTCGAATTCCGGTGGAAGCGGTGGCTCAGACTCTGGCGCAGGTGGTGGTGGCTCGAACTCCGGTGGAAGCGGCGGCTCAGACTCTGGAACAGGTGGCGCTGGTTCGAACACTGGTGGTGATAATAGCGGCACAGATAACGGCAATGGTGGTGCAAATAATGGTACAGATTCTGGATCAGGTAATGATACTTCTGATTCTGGCAATAATAACAACACCAGCGGTGCCATCGACGTGTCCAGTAAGCTCGCGATAACGGCTATCCTATTCATGTTGTCATACTTTATATAGAACAAATAAGAGTCGTTGCATAGCCTTAAGTTTCAAGTATTGTAATGTAGAATTAAAGCAATGTACATATGTATGTATGTAAGACGTTAAAAAAAATATTGAAAAATAGAAACATAATTTTATGTGAAGAAAAGAAAGATATAGATTTTTCCCTTCCTCTGGAAATATTATTATCACATAAGCCATTTCTCGTAATGAATGGAAAAAAAGCTTCAATTTAAGGCACTCATGCCGCGATAACGGCAACAAACCGATCACTCCAATGGCACTTGAAACTCTTTAGGTTGCTCTTCGTCCCAAATGCGCCATTTTTACCTATTTACATACCCATTGAAGCAGAAATTGCTGAGCTAAATTGGCCTCGAAAACGTCGAATCTTCTTGGAAATTTCAATAATCCATAGAACGCGATGTCGCTTGGCTAGGTCGAGCGGCTCAGTTCTTGCACGAGCTGCATTTTGTACGCTTTCAATTTAAGATCTCAGTAGACCGATTCTTTACAAAACGTGAATTTTCGTAATTAAGTTGAACGATTTGTAAGCGTTCTTCAGACATAAATCTTTCCATGAGGAAATGCCATATTTATTCATGAATATTTATTTTGTTCCCTTCAAAGTAATCCCCATGAGATATTATACACTTGTGCCAACAGTTTTTCCAATCTTCGAAGTACTTCAAAAAATCATTTTTTTATCTTCTTCAGCTCCTCCTTCGATGCCGTCTTTATCTCGTCAATCGTAGCGTAACGTCGTCCTTTCATGGGCGTGTTCAGTTTAGGGAGCAAGAAAAAGTCACAGGGGGCCAGATATGGGGAATACGGTGGCTGCGGAATCATTATTGTGTTGTTTTTGGCCAAAAAGTCGCGCACAAGCAACGGTGTGTGAGCAGGGGCGTTATCGTGGTGCAAAAGCCAATTTTTGTTCTTCCACGAATCCGGGCATTTCTGGCGGATTGCTTCGCGCAAATTGCGCACAACTTGCAGGTAATATTCCTTATTGACCGTTCTACCCTGTGGCAAGAACTCATGATGCACCACGCCTCTGCAATTAATTTTTTCTGTTGTTGAAGTGCCCGGGCGCCCGTTGCTTCGGTCCAAGGTAGCTTCTCCGTATGCCACAGTCAACATTCGGAATGCATCCGCGCACTTAATTTCGTTTGTCACACAAAATTTGATACAGGTTTTTGATACATTTTTTTGAATAGGTAAAAATCGAAGGCCATATAAAACACGTGCAAGCAAAGCAGCTGTCAACAATTAAGTGAACATTCAAAATGGCCGAGCTTGTCGGCATAAGTGACAGACTTGAGTACCAACATAACGCCACAAAAAAATCGCCGATCTCCTATTTCACTTTGTGGATTTGTGTTTGCTTATTCCGACAAATTGAGGGACCTACAGTTTATCCTAAGCAGCCTTCGAACAGCTATTGGTTTTTTTCACGAGGAACTTTATTTCATGTCAGAAATACCGAGGGAGGGGTTGTCGTTCCCTGCCGAGGGGCAACAGCAATTAGAAGAAAATTTCGCTTAATTAATGCCAAACTATACTGAACAAAAATAACCTGACAGGTTGTCATGACTCACGCGTGAACTGACAAAAACGGCTTTTTAAAAACTACCTCTATATACATAAATATATTATTATTACTCACTAATATTATTAATAGATATAAACCACAAAATCGTACTGTAGTTTAAATCAACCTTTGAGTAAAGTAGTAGTCATGCCACGTACCATGACTATTTTTTCATAAAATTGTGTAGTGTATTCACATCCCTGCCGGTAAAGATACTAGTTATTTACTTAAATTCAACTAGTTTGGATTTTTGCCTTAACTAGTCCATTTTCTATTTATTTCCCAACTCGCAGTACGATGATGTCTGGTCAACTGTCAATTGTGCGACTATTATCAGCTTTATACTACTCATATACTAGTTCATTTAGGCATGCTTTTCTACTTCACCAAAAAAAAAATAATAATAAAAACGAAGTTCGACCGTGAACCTAATACGCCACATTGCTAACCTTTAACCACTCGGCTATCGTGACGATGAAACGATGAACTTCGTTTTGCGCACTTCAACAGAACGTAACTGAGAATCCAACTCAGCTGAGGCATGTTAGATATAACCACAACACATGATAGTGGTGAAAATTATTATTAGTCCCGTTACAGTTGAGCCGCTATAAAAGTAACCAATTGGTATAATTTCAGAAGAATTTTTAAAGTATTTTTGCATACTAGTTTACCTTCTCCCAGCAGGGATATACTCGTATAGCCCCTTATCATCACCACCAACCTTACTTCACAACAGTTAATTGCTTTTGTAACACATAAAAACCGCAACAATGATAATCTACACGTATCTATGAACTGAATTTATTTCATAGAAGTGACAATGAAACCTAACGAATCTAAATCAAGTACAAAGATAAACCCTTCAAACTAACGTAAATAACTAACAATTAAAAAGTAATTTTTTAACAGTAATTTTCCTGTGAAATACTTGATAACAACTGATTTTATAGTTCATTCAGTTTATTTCCTGTTCACTGCACGTATATGTTTGTATTAAATAATATAATAAGAAATAATAAATATTAATAATAATAATAAAATATTGTTGATAGCAGCAGCAGCAGCAGACACAAAATGGAATTGATAAAAGTACAGAAATCTGCACTAATAAACGTGAAATATGTATTGTACATACATATATATGCACTTGCAAGAGTGGAAAGATAACTTTTTTTAATTCAAATACATTCGTTGTACAAGAACTATATTGAAGTTCTATACAAAAATAACTCAGCAACAAGAGTTAACTTTAACCAACAAAAAAAAATTTGAAACGTGTGGAAAAATCGCGTTTTTTAATAGATAAAAATTTTTTGTCATCTTTATTTTTCAATGACTTTATCTCATGTTATTACTTTATTAAATTGAATTCTATAAATTTATTTTAATTATATTATTTTTCCCTTTAATTTATTTTGCTGTGTATCACTTAATTAATATTTGTTCTTTTATTTTTTATTATATCTTTTATTTTATTTTCATATATTTGATTTTAATTACATTTATTATTATTTTTTATTTGGTAAATCTATTTGATTTGGCTTTGCGCTCTTTATTTAAATTTATTTAATTAAATTAAATTTTATTTTTCACCATTTAGTCTAATTTAGTTTAGTTGTATCCGCTGAAGCTATTTTCGGACGATCTCCACTCCTTTTTTTGTGGTTTTGCGTCTTGATTTTTTTCCAAATGCAGGAAACGGCTGAAAGGTTTCTTCATGAGGAGCCATAATTTCATTTCATAAATTAATTTTCTATAACTTTTGGATGTTGGTCGTAGCATGATTTGAACTCTGGCCTTCCAAACGGCTTTAGGCAAGTCGTTTTAATAGGTTTACTTAATTTAATTCAATTTAACTTGATTTCATTAAATTTTTTTATTTGAAATTTTTAATTTTATATATTTATTTTATATATTTTATATTTTATTTCATTTTATTTCTATTTAGTTTAATTTTATGCTTTTATTTAATTTTTTTTATTGATTTCATTTTACTTAATTTATAATTGTTTCATTTATTTTATTTTATTTTATTTTATTTTTTTATTATCTTTTCTTTTTGATTGTTGTATTTTTCTCATTTTATTTTACTTCAAACAATTTTATTTTTTTTATTATATTATTTTTTTATATTGCCTTATTTTACTTTGCTAAGTTTTAGTTCGTTTTATATAAATATTTTTTTTTTATTTTATTTAATAAAATTATTTTTATTGGATTCTACATTTTTTATTTAATTTTATTTTATGATGAAAACAAAAATTATTTTTGATTAATTTATATATTTTTTATTTGATTTTATTAATTAACTTTTTTTTATTTCAGCATAATTTATTTATTTCGGCCGCGGTAGCCGATGGGTTAGCATTGCGTACTGCCATTTAAAAGGCTCGGGTTCAAATCTTGCTACGACCAACCTCTAAAAGCTATGGAAAATAAAAAATTAAGTTAATTTTTCAATTCTAATGAAAATCAAAAGCTCCTCATAAAAAACTCTCAGCCATTTCGAGGCGGTTTAGTATAAACTGTTGTTCCTTCCATTTATTGGAAAAACATCCAGACGCAAAACCACAAATGGGAGGAGTGGAGATCGGCCGAAAATCACTTTGGCGGTTACAAAGCGCCAATTATATATGTGGGAGAAAAAAGATCAAATGAAATTAAACTTTAACTCATATTTTTTTTCTAATACTATTTATTCTACTTCATTTTGTTGAATTTATTTTAACTAAATTAAATTTAACTAAAATTTGTTTTATGCCATTTAATGTAATTACATTTTATTGCAATTCTAATCTTTTGTTTCTTTTATTTTGGTATAAATAATTATTCTTTCTTTTATTTCTTCATTAATAGTAATTAATTTAATTTGCTTTTATTATATTTTATTTTTAATTTTTTATTCTAATGAAATTTATATATTTTTTACATTCAATTTTAATTAATGAAAATTAAAAATTATAATAATTTATTTCTTACTTTGTAATATTTAATCTAATTTATTTCATTGAATTAATTTTTGTAAACATAAATTTTTTTTAGTTTATTTTATTTTATTTACTTTGTTTCAGTTTATTTAAATTCATTTGAATGAAGTTTAATTTTATACTATTATATTCTCATACATATTTTATTATTTTTTTACTTCCTTTCATTTTATTGTGCCTTTTTGCCCAATTTTTATTAATAAATCTATTTTCAAATTTTCATTAAATGTTATATTTATTTATATTGTTTTAGTTGTTAGTTAATTTTCTTCGTCTTCTTAATTGGCGTTTGCAAAATTTACGCGACTTTAACCGGTCTTCCACTTCCTCTTCCTCCACCATCGGGTGCTGCATCGAATATTTTTAAATTTAAATTTATCTAATCTAATTTTTTAAATTTTTTTAACCTATTTATCCCATATAGAAGCAAAGTATTTTTTATTGTATACGTTTGCAGAGTATTTTATTAAACACATGTCTTTTATTACAACTTCACTCACAAAGTCTTGGCCTTAGTCGTCTGTGAGTACTGATAAAACACATAGTAATGATAACTTTGTGCGATTATTACAATTGGAATCTACGTTTAGATTACGATTAACGATCGATAATACAATTGTATTTACTACTTCCACATTGATATGTTTGCCATAGTGCCAGAACAAATAACTAATCTAAATTTTATTATTAGGTTAACCAATCCAAGTCTTATTTTTATTAGTTAGTATTAATTGTTTCTTTCTTTCTCTTTTCATTTATGAATAATTTCTGCACTACCATTGGCGTTATATGTGGCAATCGATATCAGAGAGGTCGTAAATATATATTTTTTTGTATGACGTTCGGAACTTATCAAAATAATTGTAAAATAACAATAAAAACCCACTGACATTATACGATCGGCTGCCGATAACTCGTCTGCCGGCATGCTTAAATTCGATTCGAATCTATAAAAGCCACTGGCCAGCAAATGGCCAAATTAGTTTGCCGAAAATTTTCGGACGCTTCTTTTATCGTGAACGTCTCGAGTGATTTTGGGCAAAATGTTGCCCCGGAACAAAAGAATTGGCCTCCTCTTGATAGGATTGGTGTTTTGCATAGTCACCAGTGAAATTGGTAGGATAAAAAGATAAACGAAAAAAAAAAATTAATTTAATTACTAATCAATTTTGGTGCGGAAATGGGTTTAAGGATTTATTGAGTGTAAATTAAAAAAAAAAAAACACGCTGAAACGCTGAAGTTTATTTAGTTTTAAACACGAATGTGCTAGCAAGCCTCCAAATAATACTTCAAAGATAAAAACTGAAAACGGCAAAATGTATTGCAAAATATTTTCGCAAATCGGTTTCCTAATTCAAATTGTGAAATTGGTCAATGCAAATGAACTCTATGCGGTGATTGAAATTTAGTGTGTTCAGAGTGCTCTAAGAGTGACCATTTTTCATGAAAAATAAGACTATATATTAATTTTTTCTTATCATAGACACACCAAAAAGCAATAAAAAGCTTCTGGTGAAAATAAATGGACTTGAAAGGATAATATCATAAAAAAAAAGAATTTTCACAAGATAGTGGTGAATATTTTGTTATTCTACATATATGAAAGACCATTACCTTAAGAATTTTTTAGGAGAATAATGCCTTAAGTACATTATTTCCATTTCAACTCGATCTATGTGACTTACGAATAATAAAATTAGATAAAAGAGAATAAAGTTATAATAAAACAATTTCAAATAAAAAAAAATACTAAATACTAAATATTATTAAAAAAAAGAAAGTAAAATAAATTCAAATGAATTAATATGAATTTAAAAAAATTAAATAAATTAAAAAAAAAAAATATTAAAATAAATTAGAAAATTATAGAAAAATTACTAATAATAAAAAAATATTAAAAAACAAAGATCATTAAAAAATATTAAATAAATAAATATATATAAAAAATAAATAAAACAAAATAAATTTAAAAATAGGGTAAAATAAAGTAAAATGAAATAAAAAAAATAAAACTGAATCAATAACATTAATATTATTTATAATAAAAAGAATTCAAAACTAAATATTATTAAAAATAAATTTAAACAAAATAATTTAAAATATGATAGACAGAATAATATTTAGCAAAATAAAAAAAATCCAAAAAATAAGTAAGATCGTTTATTAAAAAGCGATTGAAAGCTAAATAATAAAAAAACAAAAATAAAAAATAAAAAAATCAAACAAAATTAAAAAATAAAATAAAATATTTTAAATTAAGAAAATAAAATCAAATAAAATGAAAAAATAACGTAAAATAAAACAAAATAACATATAATAATGGATATATTTTAAATAAAGTAAAGTAAAATAAAAAAAATTGATAGCCAATGAATTAAAAAAATATTAACTCAAATGAAATAGCATTATTAAATTAAAAAAAACCATTATACATTGCATGAAGTTAAAAACATAAACTTCAAATAAAATTGACAAATATGTTTTTGAAAATCATATTAAAGCAAAACAAAATAAAAATCTAATACAATAAAATGAAACAAATGTCAAAAAATACAAATGTCAAATACAATACAATAAAAAATAAGTATAAATAAAATAAATTAAAATAATTAATAAAATAACCAAAAATGAAAAAATTAAATTTTATTAAAATAAAGGAGATAAAAATAAATTAATAAGAGAGAACATTAAACAAATAAATAATAAATAAAATCAATAAACAAAACCCAAAAATCGTATTAAAAAAACTAAAAAATTAAATTAATTTAAAATAAAAACTAAAATAAAAGAAGATTGAAAAACTAAAACGAAAACATTGAATAAAAAACACAAAAATAAAATAAACTCAAATTTATTAAAAAACAAAAACAAATTAAATATATTAAAATAATTTACATAAAAAATAAAATAACATATAAGAAAATTAAATAATCATAATTAATTTAAAATAATATAAGACTAAGTATAATTAAATTAATTAAAATATATAAAATATATTAACAAATAAAATGAATGAAGATGAAGCAAACGAAAAAAATGAATGAAATTACATAAAATAGAGTGGGATAATAAAAATAATGCAAATAAAAAAATTAAATATAAAACAAAGTCAAATAAATTGTGAAGAAATAAAATACAATAAATAATAAATAAATAAAACAAAATATTTTAATCAGAGGAAGGCGATCTAAAATGATTTTTATTATATGTAAATCATCAAGTTAATGAATATAAATAATTTAAAAATATGGTATGCGGAGAAAAAGCGCTGATTTTTTTGCTATAAAAAAGTTTTTAAATTAAAATAAGCAAATGAATTAGTTCTTTGTCTAGCGGGTTGTAAAAAAAAACATTATTTTCTTAATTACAATGTCCCCAAGTAAATTTTGAACATGTTGAAACATGTTGATTAAAAATTAAGTAGCTAATCAATTTTCAAACTATTTTTAAAAGTAATATTTTCATCACCTTGCGTAACCTAATCTACATACGTAAATGTTAACTAACGTTTCATGCGTCAAATCTTATCTGTAGAGTTAATAAGAAAAGCAAGTTGATAGGTATTGACGAATAGTTGGTTAAAAAGATTTAAATACGAGAACACCTGAAATGTGTTTGGCAAATGTTAAATTAATTCGCAGAGAAAAAAAGAAAACACTTACTACTATTTTTTTTATTTTTTTTATTTATGTTTAACATATCAATACTGAGTACATAACTCTTATGAAATTGTAAAAAAAATTATATATACAAAAAAACCCAAAATATTTAAATATTTTCGGCGTATTTCATGCTTTTGATATAAAAAAAACGGCATTTAAACGCAATAAAATGCTTAGTTTAATTGGACCATAAATTTCATTAACCGTCATAAATATTATTTTAACTGTTCTAAATGGCTTACTCGCACATCAAAAGTGTGATATAAATATTTCAACAACGGTAAATAAAAAATGAAATCGCTTGTATCGGACTACCAACTATCGGGAGTCGCCGACACAATTCTAATTGATTAAATTTTAATTATTATAATTTGTCCTATTAAATTAAAAGCAGGCGGAGTAATCTCATAGTTAGCAGTATGTGCTGTCATATGCCCGGCCATCTGTTTGCAATCTGTTAAAAAATATAGGAAATTAATTTTACTAATTTCTGTTGCCCTTCGAAAGGGAATATCAAGTTTTTTGCGTGAATTTTTGTCTGGAAATAAAAGTATACTCATAAAAATCTGTCAGCCGTTGCGAGGCTGCTTAGAATAAACTACAGAATCATCAGGACAAGCGATATACAATGTTTGGAAATCTTTGCTTTCAATTGGCAAGACAAATACATAGACTTTGATAAAATTGCCATAAATGTCCTCATGGCTTGGCAGATCTACTTTTTTATTTCGAAATTTGTTGCTTAAAGCAAACGAATTTCGGCTTTTAGCAAAGTAAATCATTTTAAGCAAAGTAAATCATTTTAAGCTCATATACAATTGGATTCTTCGTACTTTAAGTACGTTGGTTAGCATTGGGTACCGTCATTCTGAAGACCAGGGTTCGAGTTCTGGTTCGACAATATATATTTCTAGCCCTCCGATTGTATTTCTGACATGAAAATCAGAACTCCTCATAAAAATCCATCGGTCCTTCATTAGTTGAAAAGACGACAAGACGCAAAACCACAAATTGGGAGAGGAGCTTGGCCGAAAATCGCGATATATAGAAAAGAGTCGGCAATCCATTTTTAGCGTAGCTGTCTAAGACACATTTTGGAATATGGTTCAATTGTTTGGAATCCACAATATCAATTCCTGGAATCTTCTGCCTTATAGAACGCTTTAACGACTTAACAACCTGTCTACACTGCTTGGTAGTGAAAAGATGTTTGGAGTTTTATTTTTAATTATATTGATACACTTATCAAACAATCAACAGTTCCAAATAGACCATCCCTTCTTAGCGAGCTTGATTTTAACATCCCTCTAAGGACATCTAGACACCTTTTGGTTTATTCAACCATAAGTAAACCTCAGAGCTGAGCATAATCTCATGTCGGTCCTATTCACCGAACATGCGATGCACTTCATGGTCGTTCGGTTTTACTTGCATGAGTTGGATTTTATAAGCCCGAAAACCAAGATTCCTTTCGAAAAATCTTCCATAAATTGGATAGGCTCCAAGCTCCAATTACTACGTGCGATGGTGGATGGAGCCATTCGGGTATTCTTCTATACCCTTCTCCATAGTAGCAACAGCGTCTTTAGTGTGCATTGTACGGTATCTATGAGAATGCGCTTTATACACTAGATTAAACATGACACAAAACCGATCCCTGGTTGCTCAAGTTACTAAAGTTGCAGGGCGATTGTTTCGAGCAAACCGAACAATTATTTTGATAGTAAAGTTGTACGATTGGCAAACATTGTATAAATCAATTGTCAAAAAGACTAACTGCGAAAAAAGTATTGCTTAATCAAAAACCACACGTTAACACACACACTTTACAAGGCGTAGGTCTCCACGGAGATCTCTAGCCCTAAGCTACCTCAGAGAAGTTTGAAAAGCACGCTGTATTACAGAATTTGAAATTACTAACCTACCCTGATCCAGAAATTTTACCGCAAATTCAAAAGCTTGACTAACAGATTAGAAGTCCACATACTGCAAGAATCTCAAGTACTCCAAACGTAAAGAATTCAGCCTCTTACCTAAGTAGTCTATCTGTTGCCAAGTCCAAAGATAAGGAATTTTTCCACAAAGTAGTACAAAGGTCAGCGACACAATTTGAATGATTACCTTTTTTTCTTTAAGGCGGCTCATGGGCTTAGTACACTCAAATCTAATCTAATCTTTATTTTAATAGTCCTTCTTAATCTTAAATACACTTCGAAAGTTGTATAATTTCCCCAAAAAATTTAATTTGTACGCACGTAAACAGATTATAAGGAAATAAATTATGCAACCACCGTTATCAAGTTCATTGGGAATTTGACCACTTGATAAACCGTTATATTGATACGCTTTATTAAGTGGATTATATAAAACTTCATCGTTATTATTCATACCCGTTATTAACAATTTCATTCCGCATATCAATTTCAGTACCCGCCAGTGGACTACAGTGTTATCATTGTGCCGGCGATGACTGTGATGATCCAGAGGTAACAGACTGTACAATTGAGAATGATCAATGTTACATACGGATCGACGAAACCTTCAGCTTCGTTGGCATGGGCTGTGCTTCAACGCTGGGCGATGACACGGCGATTGCGAATTTAATCAAGAGCAAGGAATTATACGTTTGCTCCTCGGCTAATTGCAATGGTTACGAAAATGTGCCCTCTACAAATGAATGTACCGTATGTGACTCAACGGAGGATGTGAGATGTGCCGTACAACCATCAACTGCTGGCAGGTCAAAACGTTGCGGTAATGTCCCATACACACAGTGTTATGAACGAGTCGACGTAGCCAATAATGGTACTACGGAACGTGGTTGTCTTGTCGATTTAGAAAGTGATGATTTTTACAACTGTCTCACGGGAGAGGATAAAAACTGTAACGTGTGCGTGGGAAGCGCCTGCAATACTGGGGTGAGTAGGAGAAGTATACATATGGGTTTATGTAAATATTGATAACAGAGTGAGTGATCTCAGCAACAACTTAGGTTCGACAGAGTTAGTTAGTGTTTGAAAGGCGCCCTGCATACTTCGTCGCTGCAACCGCGTCGAAAATGATTTTATAAAAAAATGAGGCGATGTCAAACGCTTTTAAGACTATCCATTTTTTTTTTTTTTGTAGGAACGAGATCTGGTGACTGTGCTAGCTCACCACCTGTGAGAAAACTATCTTTAATAGCACAAAAAGAAGCTCGTTATATGAAGATACTATGTCGCAGCTGTGGCTTTGCTGACTGACTACCCGTGCATGACTAAACTAGATATCTTTCGAATGACTCTTCTTCAACCTAATACTTAAAAACCAGAGCTAAACAGAGATGATGCTCACTTCTATAAGATCATACAAAGAAGATAGTGTAAGTTCTATTCTCTCCAGGGTGGATAAGGAAATAAATGAGGACAAGAGAAAATATCTTCCCTCATTTAATACAAATCTTCAGTGGCTTCGTATCTTGCCTTCCATGTCACTGTCACAGTTAGGACTTTTAAAGTTGTAGACGACTTTGTTTCACTAGAAACCAGCTTAAGCAGTAACAGCATTATCTGCTTGGAAATCCAAACAAGAACTACTCTTGTCAACTGGTACTACTTTAGACTGAGTAGGCCCTTGAAAAGTCCTCTTTAGACAAGCAAAGATAGATATAAGAAAAAATCAGGTGGAGAGGAAATTGGTAATTATCCCATTCTCTTTCCTTGAAAGCATTTCACAGTTTTTACACTAGAAAAATATCTGAACGGTAAGAAGACTTAGTAGTAATCAAAATGGATCTTCCTCTCGCCAGCTCATCTCGCTTGCAGTTGTCTAGGATGTCCCTTTCTGTTTAGACTGAGTAGACCATTGAAGAGAACTCTCTCGACAAGCAAATACCAAACTTTTTATCTAGAAAGAATCAGGTGGAGAGGGAATTGGCTTCGCTTTGACTCTCCTATTAAGAAGAATTATGTCATTCTCTTTCTATGAAGCCCTTTTAAGTTGTGTCCAGTTATTACACAATAAGTAAGTACGAGTATATGTCGTGTAGCATGAAGTGGTGGTGTTTAAAATCGTCTCACTAGCTCATCTCACGTGCCGTTGTCTTGTCCACCGATTTCGCAGTCTCAGTATCTAATTCAAGATAAATCACACATCCTTGCGTTCCATTCGTTTAATCCTCTTCATCAAACGGTGAATCTTATTGCATAGAAAACTCAATGTTTTCGAAATAAAGGTTTTGCTGGACAAGCCCTTAATACTACCCTTTTAGTTAATCCCAAATGAGAATCTCTCGCAAATGACCAACTGAGATTATGGTAAAGTCAGCTGCCACATTTGTTGACTTTTCTGTTGAAAGTCTCTCAAAATGCTGCTGCCTTCATTAATAAAACTGTGTAACGAGTTGTCAGAGGGAATAAAATTTCTAAAGCCTTACAAGGTAAAAATATTTACTAGACTTATCCTACAGTGTTTCAATATGAAGACTTCAAGAGCTCGCATCGATAGTTGCAAAATAGAGTACGGTAAGTCAAAAAGTCACGACATATGTGGCTTTCACCCTACCTTCTGCGCTTTTAGACTCGCTACTTGTACTTACTTCTCTCAGATCTTGGCCTTCTGACTTTTATTGAAAATTTATTTCTGACATAAGTGAAACTATTGAGCTCCTTTCAATAACTTTTCTCAATCAAATTTCAGAAGCTACATACATTTCTCTTTCCGATTTTTTGAAAACATGTATTTATTATCCTCTTTTCAAATCCCCCTAGGTCATACCCGCCGACCGTAAGCAATGCCAGCGTTGTGATTCGGAAAGTGATAACACTTGCGCCAGCGCACCAACGGCGCTCTCCATTTGCCCGCAGTACTCCGCCAACGATACATGCGTCTCGGTCTACGAGTCGGGCGTGACACGTCGCGGCTGCTCTAGTGAATTCACTTGTGATGCAACCTCAAAGAGTTGTGAAATTTGCACCGAGAACGGCTGCAATACAGCGAATGTGCAAAAACGTGCCGAGGAACTGTATGGCATATTCCAAGACCTGCCTCTGAATTGTTACACCTGCACGGGTGACGAGTGTGTGACGAGTAAGGGAAGAATACGCAAATGCAATGGTGAGATCTATCAGGATTGTTTGACGGTGTTTGATAGCGAAGGAGTGGTGACAGCACGCGGCTGTGAGAGCGTCATCGATGCCGAGTATCAAACACATTGTGCTGCCAACCCCGAATTATGTTTTAACTGCAAATCGAACGGTTGTAATAACTTCACCGCTGTTCCGGCAACACAGGAATGCATCTACTGTGATGCGGCCAGCAATGTCGACTGTCTGACAAATCCGCTAGCGGTGACGAGCACACGTAAATGCGTTGAGGGTTGTGTAAGCGCATTGTATGAAAGCAAAACGAATGCAAATGTGCAAGATCTGGCACGCTTATGTTTCGAGGATGTGGAATTTGATGATCGTGAAACATGCACTGAGGAAAACAATTGTGTTAAGTGTACGGGCGAGAAGTGTAATACGGTTGTGCTGCCCACTGAGGGACGTTTGTCTTGCTTACATTGTAGTGGGGATGATTGCGATGATCCGCAGTCACAAGTGTGTACCGGTTATTCGAAAAGTGATCAATGCTATATCTTTTTCGATCATGAGACGCACAGCGCCGTGCGTATGGGCTGCAAGAGCAGTGAGCCAGTTGGCGCCATCTATAACGACATCTTACACTATTTCTTATGCGATGGCGACGATTGCAACAACTACAGTAACTTGCCGGATGCGCATTTTTGTTACGTTTGCGATTCGGCGAACGATGTGAATTGTGCCATTGACACGACGAAAATCACAGCACAAGTGAGATGTCAAATTAATCCACACACAGACTGCTTCACGCGCATTAATGAAGGTAAGGGAGAGCAAACAAAGAAACTGTCGTTTGTATATTTCGAATTCTACGCGATTGTGTTCATATTTTAATAATTCGTTAGGTCATAATACAGAGTTCAGTTAAAGTTTGGTTCTATATGGAGGCTTAAAACTTATTTTAAAATAACTCAGATCTGTTGAGGCCGTAACCATGGTCAGCCTCAAAACTTTCAGCGTCTTCAACCGTTATTTAAAACAGTGAAGTTTAGGGGAACACTTAAGGTCCTAGAGCAAATCCAACGTAGGACGTACTCTTGATAGCACCTAGCAAAGGAGTGCTTAGTTTTCTTTTAGGTGTTCTTATTATTATTACCACAAGTCAGGTAAGGTTGCATCGTCAGAGCGTGGAGCCCGCACAAAGGAGCACGAAACACTGGAGCACTACCTTTGGGAGTTAATCCGATTGAGACGTTAATTCGTCAACGGTGATCCGAGCTCCAGTCGTATGGAGAAGAATGGGCTTGGATAAAAGCAGCTAAACAAATTCTTAAAAGCATAATTTTTCCATCTTTCCTACAATACATCCACTCAATGGCTTAGTTGCGAACACTCGCAGTCAGGTCCGACGAATCCCCTTTCCACCAACCAAGCACTCAATGGCTGCCGCGTTTTGACTAAAATTGTAGACGCAGGTGTTTTACAATCTCCGAAGTGTTCAATGGTTAATGTACCTGGCTCGGCGGCCTAAAATAAAACAGATTAAATTAAATCACAGATCAAAGCACACTTCGGGGCACCTTTTCCCTGCGGATTGTGGTTTTAGGTGAAACCTAATTACCGACACTACTACTACAGTTCAGACTCCATATAGCTTTAGACTCGTGGCTTGGGATTACACCACTTTCATTGCGTACCGACTCACAACTTGCACAACGGGAGTTGAAAATCTAGATTATTTTACCATAAAAAAGACTTTCCGAATGTACATATGTAACCATTGGTCCAACGGTCTAAGCATTATGTACTTTTTGAGAAGCCTACGGCTATCTTAATACCCACATCGCATTCGATAACTGTTCAACATATGTCCCAATATCTTCTTTCTGTCAACTTCGCTTCCTACCAACAGTACATCTTCGTACCACCCCTCAGAGCTGTAAGTAGGGTAAGTTTGGAACGGAACCCGATGTATTGTACGAACAACACGGAGACTGTGATCCCAATCCGGTCCTAAAATCCAGCGCATTTAGTCTATAAAGCTCTATTTTTTTATCTGTTAGGCGTCCAAGGGGCGAGACTAAATTTATTACCTTACTCATAAAGTATAATAGTAATCCAATATCCAGTTCGAGTTCCTGCAATGCATCAGCAATCCAGTGTTTCGGGTGTGAGCTTTCCAACAATGTTGGATCTCAGGGCATTTTAGCAAGACTAAGAAAAAAATTTGCCTTGGATGGCCTTTGGATAACTTAGTAAACACAGGTCTGTCTGACAGAAGGCACTCACAGAAGCTGTTCGTCTACTTTCACAACAACCCCCGTCTGAGAAACCCTGTAATAATCTAATGCCTAAGATATTAAACTATGAAAATAAATTCCAGTCTTTAATCGTCTTTAGGTAGTTAGTTAGGGCTTTTGTTTCCTTCGCACTTTCTCATTACACTTCTAAGTCTTAGCCTCACACTCCACTCAAGTTGTAATTAAAAAGTATAATATTTACTCCACAGCTGGCCACACGGTACGCGGCTGTATCAGCACATTAAACAACACTGAGTTCCTCAGCTGTCACGAAGGTACACCCGGTGAATTCTGTCGCATCTGTACGGAGAGCAACTGCAATGCAAACATCTACCCAAGTAGCCGTCAACGTTGCTACCGTTGCAACTCTGCCGACGATCCAAGCTGTGAGAAGGAACCGAGCACCAGTACCGTATGTCCGCTATTCGATGAAGACGATTATTGTGTGACCAAATTGATTGATGGCGTTGTGCATCGCGGTTGTGCCACCGAATTGCAATGTGAGGGTGGTGTGACCTCAAAGACCTGTCGCACGTGTGAGGATAACTCGTGCAACGACTATGTTTTCGAGGAATATCCGATAGGCAATCCAGGCTATTTCCAGGTGTTGCCACTCAATTGCTATCGCTGCAATGGCACCGAGGAATGTGGCGGAAGCAGTTTGGGTAATATACGAAAATGCGAAGGTAACATACTGCAGACCTGCACGACGGTGTTTAATCAAACGTCTGGCGGTGTGATTGGCCGCGGCTGCAGTGATACATGGTTGGCAGAGTGCGATGCTGATGAGAGTAAATGTTACGATTGCAAGTCGAATGGTTGTAATGTGGCGAAAAATGAAGAGGATTATATTGATTGCATCTTTTGTGATGCGCAAACCGACGAGCGTTGCTTGACCGACGTGGACAGAATAACGTCGACCCGTAAGTGTTACAAGAGCTGTGTAACGGCTTTGTATAATCGTACCGATGATGCGACGCCGGTGCGTGAACTTTTACGCTCTTGCCTCGATGATATGGATTTGGACGATCGCGAAATTTGCACTTCAGGCGGGGATTCGAGTTGCGTCGCTTGTGATACGGAGAATTGTAATACTGCCGAGGTTGGTGAGCGCATCTCATGTTACCAATGTGTCGGCGATGAGTGCCAAGAGCCAGTGGCGAAGACTTGTCGCGCGGTCACCGAGGGTGATCAGTGTTTTGTGGAATACGATGAGACCGGTTCGATTGTCGAGTTGGGCTGTAAGAGCAAATATGATCCCGCTGAAGTTAAACTGCGCATAATTGCGAAACAATTGTGGCTTTGCGATGGTGAGAATTGTAACAGCATCGATGGCCTGCCCGCTGAGCGTCAAGTGTGCACGATTTGCAGTTCGTTAACCGATCAGAATTGTGCGATTGCGCCGAGCAAAGTAACGGCACAAACGACATGCGCTAAGCGTCCATACAACCAGTGTTACTCACGCCTCTTGAGTGGTGAGTAGTAGATTTTTATTTTTGTTTGTTGTATTATTATTTACCGCCTATTTTCATTTCGTATTTCTCTCAAGATGGTCACACCGAACGTGGTTGTTTGTCAAGTATTGAGGGTGAGGAGTTCTACGACTGTTTGACAGGTGCTGATACGTCGAAATGTTTAGCTTGCGCTAGCGACAGTTGCAATGCGGAGGTAAGCATTATTATTATAAAAAAACCAAATCTCTATCCCTTATTAAGTTAAGTAAACAAATCTTCCACTTAAGACTAGTGGATATAATTATTAGAGGGAATTAGGGAACATCAAAAATTCTATAGAAAGACAGAAGAACAGAGCTTATGCTCGGTGAAGTGAATTATGTGCAGTTGTTGTCCAACCCCCGCTTAGATCGAGCTCATTTAACGGGAAATCCAGGAAACGAGCTGGCTCCACGAGTTCGAACCAGAGGGAAAGGAGAGTTCAATAAATAGGTTTTAGGGGGCATATAATATCTTAATCTTAATTCTGTCAGTATTAATCGGGCACGCGTGCTCTTCGTCTGCAATGGGTGCTACTTGGATTTCGAGAACGCCTTTCACTAGAAGATAGTTCATGAAAGTTCTGATGGACTCCCGGTAAATAGCATTTAAAACATGTCTTTACGCCTACTTGCCTAGTGGTTTTTGTGTATGGAACTGAATGGAGCTGGTATAATCTGAGATCTCTCGACAAGCTAGGTACAGAAAAAGATGAGAGACTGTATTCAGACATCATATCTTTCATGATCTTTTAGCTTTAGCTTTACAGAAGTGGGATAAGATGAGCAAACTTCATGCGACCACTTCAGCTCAGGTCCTCAACCTTCTGTTTCAACCAACCAACCGAACAAGCATGGCAGGTTTCTGCTCTTCTTTCTTGGCGGAGGATTGTGCCATCTCCTAACCTTCAAATCATCTTTTCCAAACTAGTTTTGATGCACTAACCCAAATATTTTCATCTTTTCTTCCACATAGATCTACCCTGCCAATCGTCTTTCTTGCCATCAATGTAATTCCTCCATCTCAACCAGCTGTGAGACCACACCAGCAGCCGCTAGTCTATGCTTGAAGTACAGTGAATCTGAAACATGCGTCAGCACCGTCGATAGTCAAAGCAACACAATACGTGGTTGCAGTTCGCAAGTACAATGCGATTCAGATCTTTGTCAGACCTGTGCCGAAGATGATTGCAATACGAGCAATATCAAACGAAAACTTGATGGTAAACCCGGTCAGTGGCAAGACGTACCGTTAACTTGTAAAGTGTGTGATAGTGAGAGTGACTGTGCTGGCACGCCAAGGGATTTGGTTTGCCCAGAGCAAAGCGATTACTGTATGACGGTATTCGATACCGATGGCAGTGTCGTGAAACGTGGTTGTAGTGCTGCTGTGGAAGTCGAACTTGGCACATACTGTGATGCCAATGCCGATAACTGTCATAACTGTAATTCCAACGGTTGTAATACGGTTAGCGCCTTAACGGATTACGTCAACTGTGTCTATTGTGATTCCGCTACAAATGCCGATTGTGTTTCGGCGCCAGAAAGTGTTGGTCAATCGCGTCAATGTAATAAATATTGTATGACAGCTCTGAGACCAAGAATAACGAATCCTAACATCTTTGATGTGTCAAGAAGCTGTTTGGATGATAAGGAGGTTGCGGATCAGGCAACATGCCGTGCGGGTAGTGATGATTGTGTCGCTTGTGAGGGTGCGCTCTGTAATACAGCCAAGGTACCGGCGAAGCGTCGCTCGTGCTACTCGTGTGTGGGCGAAGAATGCGTGACGCCCGAAGTCGCTGAATGTGTGGCGTACAAAGAAGATGATCAATGTTTTGTACTCTTCGACAGTTTGAGTGATGTGCAGCGCATGGGTTGTTTAACCGAGTTGGAGGACTCCTTCGTGGAGAGTAATATACACTTGTTGTTGCTGTGTGCTGAGAATGATAACTGCAATGGTTTTGAGAACTTCCCCCAACCGACCACATGTTACCAATGCGATTCAGATGAAGATGAGACATGCGCCGCCAGTTCGTCTGAGATACAGACACTAACGAAATGTAGCGCTTTGCCACATGTAGAATGCTATAGCCGTGTACTCTCAGGTAGAACCCAGAGATTGGTTACTCGAAAGAAGATTAGTTAATTAAGAGTTTTATATCACCTACAGATGGCACCACACGACGCGGCTGTGCAAGTGCTCTTAACGGAACTGTCCTGCTTGATTGTCTGAGCGGCAATTCCAGCACTTGCCAGACTTGTACGGCTGATCTTTGCAATGGCGAGGTACATGAGTTGTTTAATAAATAATATATCAATATAAAAAATATTTTGCGGCAATTAATTTATGCACTTTTCAACAGGTCTTCCCCGCCGGACGTAGGAGCTGCCAGCGTTGCAACTCCAAAGTTGATCCCTCGTGTGAGAGCTCACCCGACGCTGCTTCAATATGTCCACTATACAACGAAGATCAATTCTGTGCCACTAAACTGGTCAACGGTTACACCTACCGCGGCTGCAGCACCGAGTTCCAATGTGACGTCTCAAACAAGCAATATTGTCGTCATTGCTCTGGTTCCGACAACTGTAACACTATCGATTTGAATGGCAACGATATAGGACTGCCAGGAAAATGGCAAGATCTCCCATTAAGTTGTTATGACTGCACGGACGACGATTGCGCGAACTCCACTGCCGGCTCACTACACCAGTGTGAATATAATAATGAACAAAATTGCGAGACCGTTTTCGACGCGGCTGGCACAGTTGTGCGACGCGGTTGCAGCGACGATGTATTGACAACACACGGCGACTACTGTGAGGAGAATCCGCAAAAATGTCTCGGCTGCAAATCGAACGGTTGTAATAATGCAACCAGCTTGACACAATTCATCGATTGTTACTGGTGTGACTCAGTCGATAATAGCACATGTGCTATAGGCTTTGATGCTGCGAGCGCGAAAAAACGCAAGTGTCAAGGCCACTGTGCCGTAGCCCTATATCCACGTAGCTCAGCTGAAAATCCCTCTTACGAGCTGACACGCACATGTTTGGATGATCTGGAGGTTGAAGATCGCGAAAAATGTTTGGCGGGCGAGAATGAATTGTGTGTGGCTTGTGAGGACGCTCTGTGCAACACCGCGCCACTGCCAGCAAACAGACAGAAATGCTACAAATGTGTGAACGGAGATTGTGCTGAAAATGTGGTGGCCGAATGTAGCGTCTACCAGCCCAACGATCAGTGCTACATGACATTTGATGATGAGAATTCTATATTGGATATGGGTTGTCGCAGTGATATCGAGTCGGATGTACTAGCGTTGTTAATTAGACAGAAAATGCTATTACTTTGCGATGGCGAAGCTTGCAATGGACCGGAGTCTATACCGACAGCAAAAACTTGCTCGGCTTGCGATTCGGAAACTGATGCACGTTGCGCAACTAATCCCAATCTGGTGAACGAAACCGAACGTTGCTCGAATCTGCCATATACCCATTGCTACACGCGCGTCAAGGAGAGTAAGTATCGCTGTAGTTAGATTGCTCGTCTTTATCATCCTTCCGGGTTGCAATTACATTTACCGAAATGCTTGGCTCTTAGCGGCCTGAATGCTCCGCGAACAAGCATATCATTTCGTTTATTTGTAGTCAGTGATGTTTTAATGAAATGTGCTGACCACTTGACTACTCTTTGGTAGATGAATTCAGTATAGAACACTTTTTTCTACAGTTTTGTTCTCCATATTTGTGGACCTTCACTCGTAAGCCACTTAAGCTTCAGCCATATTTTCTTCCTTTTAGTTTGAACATGATGAGACGCCACAATTTATATACTCACGCCATATTAACAGTTACATAACTGATCACTTTTTATCCACCTCCACAGATGGACACACAGCACGCGGCTGCATCTCCAACTTGGCCGAAGAAGCTTTCTACACTTGCGTCACCGGCAACGACACACTCTGTCTGCCCTGTCTCGGCGATAAATGTAATGCCCTCGATGTCTTCCCCACGGACCGTCAACTATGCCACCAATGCAACTCCGAAACGGAACCACTTTGCAGCACCGCACCGAACAGCAACAAGGTTTGCCCCATCTACAGCGCACAGGACAGTTGTGTGACCAACTTGCGCAATGGTGTCACCACACGTGGCTGTGCCTCGAGCATGAGTTGCGATAATGAAAACGATCGCAGTACATGTCGTACTTGCAGCGGTAGTGGTTGTAATACTGTGAACTTGGAAAGTGCGCTCGACCAGGGCAAACCCGGCAGATGGCAGGATGTACCCATTACATGTCGCACATGTGTAGGCGAGGAGGCGTGCGAAAGTTTAGGCATTTACCGCGTGTGCACCGGCAATACGTATCAGAGCTGTATGACCGTCTTCAATACGGCAGGCAATGTGATACAGCGCGGTTGCTCAGACACCGTCGAGGAGGCAAATAGTCAACACTGCAGTGACTATCCAGCGAATTGCTTGAGTTGTAACTCCAACGGCTGTAATAACTCAACACGTTTGGCAGATTACATCGACTGCTTGTACTGTGATACCGACACCAATGCTGATTGCTTGAATAACCCTGCAGCGATTACAAAGACTCGTAAGTGTAACACCTACTGTATGAGCGCACTCTACGCGAAATATGAGGAGACCAATCCCGCTTATGGTTTGGCACGCACCTGTTTCGACGATATGGATTTGGATGAACGTGAAGCTTGTGCCTCCGGCAGTAACCCCAACTGTCAGGTCTGCGCTGAGGAAAACTGCAATACGCACACTGTGCCGGCGAAACGGCTCAGCTGTAACGTATGCCAAGACGATGAGTGTCAAGATCCACAGCCGGCAACGTGCATTAATTACCGCGAGGATGACAAGTGCTACATACAATTCGATGAGGGTCGCAACATTATCGGCATGGGTTGTCGCAGTGAGTTCAGCAATGCGGATGCTGACTACCTGTTGCAAAAGAAACGCCTCTTCTACTGTGACGGCGACAATTGCAACACCTTCGATGCACTACCCGTGGCGCAGTACTGCCGCATCTGTAGCTCACGCACCGATGTACAATGTGCCACCAACCCTGACTTCGTCTCAGCCTCAACCACATGCTCGTACTTGCCATACACGGAGTGCTATACACGTATTTTGGAGAGTGGCGTTACCGAACGTGGCTGTCTTTCGAGTTTGTATGACGATGATTTTACAAGCTGCCTAAATGGCACCGCAGCACATTGCACGGCATGCACGGGCAACTATTGTAACAACCAAGTGTACCCCACCGAACGGCTGTCCTGTCATGTTTGCGATTCCACCACAGATCAGACTTGCACGAATAGTCCGAACAGTGTGAGCATTTGCCCAATCTATGCCGAAGGCGACACCTGTGTCACCGCCTATGAAAATGATGTGACCTATCGCGGCTGCAGTTCGAGCATCGGTTGTGATCCTACAGATACCAGAAAATGTGTACAATGTGTAGGCGAAGCTTGCAACACTGTGAATTTGGCGCGTAGGCAAGACGATAATTTTGGCAAATGGCAAGATCTACCGCTGACTTGTCTCACCTGCGTTAACGAAACGACCTGTGCAAATCTAAGCTCTGCAGAGTCACACACTTGCGAAAACAACAATGAACAGGACTGTGTTACGGTCTTCCAGGATGGTAAGGTGGTACAACGTGGCTGCAGTGACGAGGTGGAGCAGACATATGGCGATTATTGTGACATCAACAGCGATGACTGCCTCAACTGCAAGTCAAACAACTGTAATAACGGCACTCTACAAACGCAATACCAGGATTGTATTTACTGCGACACACACAAGAACTTATCGTGTTTGTGGAGCCCTCAAAGTGATACGCATAGTACGCGTAAATGCCAAGGTGCCTGCATGACCGCCTTATATCCTTCGGATAGTGGTACAGAGCCTACTTTTGAACTCATACGCACCTGCTTGGATGATAAGGAGGCAGCAGATCGCACGAGATGTACAAACGGTAGAGACGCGCAGTGTCAGAGTTGCGTGGGCGCGAATTGTAACACGGCTGTCTTGCCGGCCGCACGCCTTAGCTGTTATCAGTGCGAGGGTGATGATTGTGATGAGCCCGAGTTGAAGTATTGTCCACTGTACAAGAGCGGCGACCAATGTTTCACCTGGTACGATGAGTCGAATAGCATCAGTCAAATGGGTTGTATAAGTTCGTTCCACAATCAAGAACTAGAGACGATTATCGGCACAAAACGTGTACTAGTGTGTGAAGGTGATGCTTGCAATTCGCTGGAAGTACCGCCTACGCCACAGAAGTGCGCGGTCTGCGATTCCAATACGGACTACGCGTGCGCTGTGAACGCAATGCAGATCGGCACGTTCGACACTTGTGGCATCTACCCCTACACCAACTGCTACACGAAACTGGTCAGTGCGGGTGAGTACAAGTAGTGGTGTAATGTTGTCTGGCGTACAGAGTAAATTCCCTTTTTCTCACTTTCACAGATGGGTCTACGAAACGTGGTTGCTTAACGGAGCTGGACACATCGGAGTTTGTCGCCTGTGTTTTGGGCAATGACGGCAATTGCAGTGTGTGTCTTGGCGAGGGTTGTAATCGCGAGGTGAGTGAATGTCAACTATAAAAGCGGGATGGAACTAAAGCAAAAGGGAGGAGGAGGAAGTCGCTATTGAAAGCAAGATTAGGTTTAATATTTTTAAGTCGAAAAAGCCTCAATAGAGGTTTCTTCGTAGTCTCATATATTTTCAAATTTGCCCTGTAGGTTGTGACACTTTTCGAATACACGCATGGGTCTAAACAAGTCTAGAATAGTGAACCTCAGAACGGTAGTAGACTGTGGAAATGTCAGTCAATATTAAATAAGTGAAGAGGTGCTTCCTTTACTCAACTAAATTAGGCGGTGTGTAGATCAACGCTGTATTCGAGTACAATGAATCTCTATCTCACTGCAATGAGCCTCTAATTTTATATATATATTTTCCCCAATTAGTCACACAATATATGGTTTTAATTATTCTCCCCTTCAGATCTTCCCCGAGGACCGTAAGCAATGCTACAAGTGCTCAAGTGAAGATGACTCCACTTGTGAATCGAATCCCACACGCCTAGAACCATGCCCTTACGTTACAGATACAGAACTTTGTAAGACCGCGCTAAGCAACACCACCACGTTACGTGGCTGCAGCTCAGAGATCTTGTGTGATGTGAATGACAGGAATTGTGTTTCATGCGTTGGCAGCGCTTGTAACAACATCGATCTGATACATCGTGCCGAAGACGATGGTATGCACGGCTTATGGCAAAATTTACCGCTGAGATGTCACACATGCGAGGGCGACCATTGTTTGCATTCCCTGGGACCAGCTCAAAATTGTAGCGGTAACGTTAATCAAGATTGTGCGACGGTATTCAATGCCAGTGGTGAGGTAATACGGCGCGGTTGTTTCGATGAAGTCGAACTGTACGAGCAACGTCATTGTCGTGAAAATCCCGAACTGTGCTTCAAGTGTAAGTCAAATGAGTGTAATGACGCCTGGGATATCGACGATTACATTGAGTGTAATTTCTGTGACTCTGAAACGAATCCATTATGTGCAACCGATCCGCTCAATACGAACTTCACGAAACGCGCTTGCCACAAGGAATGTATGGTAGCGCTGAAGGATTCAAGGGTTATACGTTCCTGTTTGGATGACAAGGAGTTGTATCACCGTTATCAATGTCGCGACGGTAGCGGCGAATGCGCCAGCTGCAACACAACAAATTGTAACAATTTTGTCTATCCAGAGGATCGCTTTAGCTGTCATGTGTGCAGTGACTCTTCGTGCGCTACCAGCGTGAGTGAAGTCTGCTCTAAATCTGTGGCATTTGATTTCTGTTTCGCTAAGTATGATAATGGACAACCACAACTTTTGGGTTGCGCAAGCTCACAGAACGATAGCGATTTGGCGGCGTGGGAGGCAGAGAATATACTGTACACTTGTTTGGAGAAGGACTGCAATGCGCTGGCTAAATTACCTACAGAAGGTGTAGAATGTGTGGTGTGCGACTCTTCACTGACGCCCGCATGTGCGCAGAATCCTGCACAGGTTACAGCAAAGCAAACGTGTGCAGCACTACAGACCCAGTGTGTGACCCATTTGAGCACAGGTGAGTGAGGATTTTTTACCTTTTTTTTGTTACAAAATTTATTCATTTATTGACTTTCTCCCATCTCAGCTGGACATACCCTGCGCGGTTGTCTGAGCAGCTTGTCACAAGCCGAACAGAGTTCTTGCCAAGCTGCAGGCAGTTGCGCCATCTGCATGGGCAACAGTTGTAACAATGAGGTGAGTTTGAAGAATTTTCAATTTTTTGAATTTTTTTCGCAATCTTTATTTAATAACTTTTACGCGCTTACGCGCGCCATTCAACAGATCTTCCCCATCAACCGTCGCAGATGTCACATTTGTACTTCGGCTGTGAACTCGGAGTGCGCTAGAGAACCCAACTTCCTGCAAGTGTGTCCCTTGTATGCGGCCGACGATCGCTGTGTAACGACGCGTACCGAATATACCGAACGTGGATGTGAATCGTCACAGCTCACTTGCGATACCAGCGACGAGCATACATGTCAAATATGTACCGGAGATGGCTGTAATACAGCCGAGTTGAGCGGTAGTGCCGCTCTCGTGCCGAGTCTGCTGGCGTCATTAGTGCTTGCCATTGTCGCAATGTTAGTAATTACTTAGATATTACATTAAGTGAAAGATAACCAAAATTCAGAGAACATATACATATGTATATATATGAACATATGTACGAGTATACATGTTATATGAATTAACAAAGGATATTAACAATTGACTTTTTAGCAATAATATTATATACCAAATAAGGAAAAAAGTTAAGATAATGATATTTGAAATTTTTTTGTGAAAATTCAATTTATCAAAATATTTCATTGTTAAGAAAAAAAACTGTATTTATGTACATATATACCTTTATAGGCAAAATACTTCCATTGTTAAATAACGTGTCTATATACTTGGTATAGATTTACGTACTCATTGACTAAATGTTACAAATTATTTAAATTAAAATATGAAAAAAAAAACCTTTATAACTGTATAATAAATGATAAATAAATAAATATATAAATAAATGCGACATTCTGTTATTCGAGCAATGGATTTCATAGACTAACACTTCGTCTCCTGCAGAAGCAGTAGTCGAGTGTCGGAGAGTCTTCAGTTTTAACTCTGGCCATGCCAACATCCAAATTCACAGCAAATTATAGTTTAAAGGTGTTTTTTTTTATAGACATGTGGTTTTCAAGAAGAAATGAGACTCACATAATTTAATGTTATGGCTCATAATTTCACTAAATTTAAGGCTGAATGTTTGCTGTTATGTTTTAAAAATGATTTCTGTCACGAGACAGCCAAAGCTAAGTCGAGTAAATTCCAGCCGAGAGGCGCAATTTTTGTTTTTTGCAGCAATCCAAGCGGTTTGCCAACAATAACCCGCCGAATATTCTTTTCCAAGGCATCAATTGTGCCGAGCTTATCTGCGTAGACAAGCAATTTCATATGACCTCACAAAAAATAGTACAGCAATAGCAAGATCTTCAGCTCATCAGCTGTCAGGCACGAAAAAGTTGTTTATTATGCGTCCTATAGCTTTCCCCATTGACTCTAAGTTTCAAGAAATATGTATCTCAGATTCTCTCTGCTCATATAGAGCACAGCAACAGTGGCTTTTTGAGGATTTATAGACGTCTCATCAAAGGCTTGTGAATTTCCATAACCTCAATAGTGAAAATTTTGTCTGTTAGTGTACCCATTCAACCAAAAGTGAGATTTGTCGCTGAAGAAAATTTTGTTATGGAAATCGTGCTCGCCAACCAAGATCTTTCTGCAAATCTCTAATTGTTTCGAGACCTTTCTCCCAAGCAGGAATAACGATGCGCATTACGTACTAGAGTAAATTCACTTTGCTGGGCGGCTATATGTATATGGACACAGCGCGTCAACCGATTGATTATAAATTTGCACGATCTCCAAACGTTGTTCCGGAGTAAGTCTGTTCGTTGAAATGGGAAAAGGCCAACTCCGAAGCAAGTGTTGCCTCATTGCAGACCACACGTCTAAGAAAAGTAATAAAAGGGTTACTTATTTCGTACGGTTGACCAAGAGATGGCTTAATTTGACTCGATCGTTCCAATATTCCTAAGTTGCGTTGGTAAGTTACTGTCCTTTCACTCAAATATGTCGATATTTGTGCCTATGAAAATGTTTTTGCGGGGAATTCCTCTTCATTATTTTAATAAGAAAAAGTCGTTGCCGAAAGTATTCGTCTTTCGGTGGCAGTTTATGATGAGCATGCTCGAGCTGAGTGTGTCAAAAATGGTTTGTTCCATTCAAATACAGCGACTAGGAATTTTTGGCGTGGAAGATACAGAAAGTGCTGGACGACCAAAAAAAATTAAAGGATGAGAAACTGGAAGCATTACTCGTTGAAGATTGATGCCAAGTACAAACAGAGTTTACAGTGACTTTGGGGGTTACTCAAGCAGGCATTTCGAAACATTGAAAAGCAGCCAAATATATTCGAAAACAAGAGAATTACGTGACAATTCATAATTAGAGCCAAGAGATGATTTTGCTGGTTGAACGCTACAAAAAAATGTCGTTTCTGCCTAGGATTGTGACTGATGCGAGAAAATTAATTTCTTACGACAATCCTAAGCGGATAAAGTCTGGCCAATTGGGTATTGAAACCATTAAAGAGGGCAATAAATACTCAAATTGAAAAAAAAATACCCAGAGCAGGCACGAGGCAATCATTTTCCATCACAACAACGCTCGGCTTTGTGTTTGCAATACCGATTAAATACTGTTTGGAAAATAGCGACTGGGAAGTTTTGCCTCACCCAGATCTCTCCCTTCCGATTATCATTTATTCGATATCGAACTTTTTCACTAGAATACGGATCACATTTGAACAGGGTATTTTTTGGCAGATACACAATGCTTGGAATAATAAAAGGTTCACTGAAATAAAAGCTTCTAATAAAAATCCATCAGTTCTTCGAGGCGGGGGCAAAAAACAAGCTGCATATCTCCACATTCACGATTATAAAGCGCCAGTTATGAATGCATATTATTTACCATGTCTCTATTGCAGGAATGCACAGTTGGGATTTATTAAACCTCTTAGTTCCAGGGCATACTTAACTGCTGTGAACAAAGCTTTGCACATTTTCACAGATGGTTCCAAAATGAACGACAGAGTGGAGTTACAGTTTACTTACAGGTGATTAACAGGTCATCTAGGTTAAAGAGAACTCTCAAACGCAAAGGACTTTTTAAGTTTTGCTTTCTTATGGCACGAATCCTGTCGGAATGCACTATCGAAAGAGGCAATCAAAAGACTGGTGGAGAAAAGTAAGGACTACTTTTATTGGACACAAGGACACAACGACATCGAATATGGTGAATTATCTTCGGAGAGTTTCTAAATGGTCTAACCATTATCGACTTTGCGTCAGACTTTAAGCCACTAAAATCTGTCACTGGATCTTTTCAATCGTTGTGAGACCTTTATTTTTGCATGGAGGGGGTGTCTGTATAGTGTGGTCTGCATTAAACAGGGCCACAAACATTAACATTCTAAATAGAATTAAAAAATTAGCGATGATTAGCATAAGTAGTGGCTCAAATCCACCCGATGCCAAATGGAACTTTAAATGTGAATCTCGGCATTTTGCCACTGGACTTAAATCATTTTCAAACTACAGCGCTAGCTGCTCTTCACCTAAGTGAGCTAATCTCTCAAAGAGCTATCTTTCAGGCTATGCTATCATAAAAGTGTATTTCAGACTGAAATTTCTACGATTATGTGTACCAGATTGTCGCCGATCTCTGCGGGAGTTGGCCAAGCAGAACAGTTTAACTCTCATTTGGGTGCCTTGTCACATTGGCATAGAGGAATTTGTAGGGCAGACAAACTTGCAAGTAAAGGCACCATCTAGCAGATGCTTCCCAAAAACGAACGTTCATGAGAACTGGTACCAAGTGTAAGCCGAATGAAAGTGGAACCACATTGCTGTAGCAAGTATACTTGCAGAATTTCTAGACAACTACCTAAAAAGCTCACGATAAATATACTCTCTCAAAAGAGAGAACATCTCGAAAGTAATGGGAGACTTAGGATGATGGGAGTTGCTGTAGCAGCTGTAAGAACGGTGAGGGGTCATACCTATGCCACTATGTCACCTTGGCCAAGATAAATTTTGATATTTATACAGGAGTTAATGTGGCTGCATGGTGTAGCTTAGTGATCGAGTCAACACTGTAGTATCTGTATCTGTCTGTCTGTTGCCTATCTGCTCGCGATAAACTACAGTGCGGATTGTATATAATTATTTCAGTTTCTTAAATTTATATATATATATATATTATAAGTCTTAAGTGTAGACTTAGCACCATATTTTGAGTGTCTACAACGGCTTTACTCGTTAACAGCATAGAATTTGTACTACGAAAGAGTCTGGCGATTTAATATTTTTTTTTTTTTGTATTTTCCGAAAATCAACTCAGAGTGTTTAAGAATCCATAATAATAAACATTTTCGATTCACCAAGAGAAGATTTGTTCCAAAAGGTTTTGAAAATCTTCTTCAACAGTAGAAAATACGATATCATTGGCGCTTTGTAACTGCAGAAACGATTTTCGGTTAAGCTCCTCCCCCAATATGTGGTTTTGCGTCTTGATGCTTTTCCAACAAATGAAGGGACCTACAGTTTATACTAAGCCGCCCCCGTACGGCTGATGGTTTTTTTTACGAGGAGCCTTTATTTCATGTCCGAAATACACTCAGATTGGTGGACATTCCTTGCCAAGGAAAATACGACCTCGGTCAATTTCACAGTCGAAATGTCTAATCGAATCGCAACTCTGAATGTTTTTTCCATTATTAAAGATTGGCCATAATTTTACGCTGGGATTTAATAATAATTTTATAGAGCAGCCAATGGACTAAACTCTTTTCATACATACAAACAATTAAAGTTCCTTACCTTATGCGGATATGCCAAGTGCCAAGTGGCATTGAATTTTGTGCCAGATAATATAGAAGTTCGTATTGTGCCTGAAAAGAGAGTAAAAATATAAGACATGGATACGATAAAGAAAAATATATGTGAAATTTTTTATCAAACTAACCAACAAAATCAAATCTCTATTATTATTAAATTATTTTGAAATATATATTATAAATTTATTTGTATAGAATTGTGTAGTAGCAATATAAAGAATAAAATATAAATCAGAGTTAATTAAAAATGCGTCATAACTTTGATTTGGCGAAAATTCGTTACAGAATATCTTATCACAATTTATAAAAATTTGATAAGAATATAACAGTAATTAATTTTTAAAAAGAAATTGCAATGGTATTTCAACAATTAATTCAATTGACAAATCAAATGATTATTATGACTGACAAATTCAATGCCTTGAATATTGATTTATGACCACTACGCATTGTTTCCCATTCTGCTAGTTATTTTAATATATACTTGTATATGTATAATTGGCGAATTGTAGCCGCTAAAGCGATTTTTCGGCCGAGCTCTTCCTCCAATTTGTGGCTGAGAGTACTACAGATTTTCAGGAAGAACTCGTCTGAACTATTATTATTATTATTACGTTGGGAGTGGATTACCGAACATGATGGCGAATACATAATTGATTAATAAAAGCACTTTCTTCAAAAAATTTCAATTTTAGTTTGCACTTGAAATCGGGCACGAACTTATGCACTCATCCAATACATTCGGCAGGTCTGACATTCCCTACCGAGTGGCGACCGGTATAATTTTGAATATTGATTGAACCAGGACTCGAATCCTGGACTACCGAATGTTAGTGCGCAGTACATACCACTCGGCTATTGTGGCTTTGACTAAGTTTTTTATAATAATAATTACAGCAATAAAATATTTCTACGGATATTTAAAAACCCAAGGAGGTTTCTATATATTTTTAAACAATTTTTTTCTTTATCGAAAAACGATTATATATGTATATTGTATATAGTGGCGTAAGGTTCATACTAACATACGTATAGAGCACTAATGTGATGAGCGAAATTAAACAACAGGTGCAACATACCTATCTACTTGGTATAGCAGTCAAGATGAGGACTACCTCAACAGAGGCCCTAAAGGTCATCTTTGAGGGTCTCCAAAAGTAAATTATGTCAGAATTCGCGCTAAGCGCAAAATCAGTGCGAGAAAGAGAAACTGTATATGCTAAATATTCCTTTCATAGCGGGGAGGAATGAACGAAAGGCGGTCTCAACGGTAACAGCGAAGATATAAATATCCAAAACGATGGGTCTAAATGTGAGGCAGGCATAGGAACAGAGTCCTTCTGTAACGCCGACAATTCTGTATTCTAAGCAGAGATTTGTGCATTACACAAGCTGTCAAATGAGCAGTCGCTTTAAAGGGGAAATCTATAAGGTTTCTGGTAGGCAGTCGAACGGTAAGTGGATCAACAGAAATTTCAACTGCGTTCGAATAGAGGAGAAGCAATTAACAGACTAACACAAGAAAACGCTGTGCAAACCACATGGTTCTCACGCATGTAGAAGGCAACATTAAAGGTGGATAAACAGGCTCGCGCTGGCGAAGCTGTCACCATCTAATGCTTAAGATCCTTCGGCGCCTTAAAATCTTTGAACTTTTCCAATCCAGGACTTACAACCAAGTTATTGTGGGACAGCCTGGATAGTAACAGACCAAACAGTTACTTTTATTAAACAAAATACACTAGGTAAAGTGCAGCTCTATCTGTTTCGACAGTATTCATTGCAAATGTCTGCATCGGTTTAATGTTGCTCGAAATAGTAGTAGTATCATCAACACCATCTAGTGACAAATCGTGGCGACTTTCTTAATTATAATATTAGTAAAACAAAATCCATATACCTGCAACCTAACATTCCCATCTTGATAAGCCACATTGTTAAAGGAAAATTTCATATCCCGCTTTTTGAAGTGGGTTTAGAGAGTTTTTTCTATCAGACAATCTTTTTTTATTGTTTCACAATAATTATTATAAAGCACTTAAGTAGTCAAAGTAATTTCATGTTTTTTTTATTTACGAGTATCCGGTTACCACGATTTTAAATATTATTGTTCAAATTTGTTTGTGCAGGTGTGAATGGAACAGAAGCCTAGTAGATGAGGAGGATGCCCACTCAATCTGTATCGAAGGGACGAAATGGACTGCCGTATAGGCATAGGTATATTTCAAAGATTTTCATATCTTCATCTCTTTTTCTCTATCTATCTCTTTCCCACCCTCCTCTTTATCTCCTCTCACTCTCTCTTTCCCTCCCCCTACTTCTACTTCTCTCTCTCTATACGTCAATCAAATGTAGCTAGCATCTGCTAAGTGAAAGTACAATATTAGATAGAGTACGAGTATATTGAGTACTACGGTAGGATTCAGAAAGCAACTATATGAGGGGACAGCCAGGTGACATTGCTGACAGTTGTTGGATGGTTTGAGCTCCCTGACAGGTCAACTCAAAATATCTTTAATATCGACTTTCGGCGGTCATAGCAACATTTTGGTTAACGAAAATGGTGATGAGTTAGTCAAGTTGGAAGCTTCTCAAAACACTTTTAAAGCGGAGTTAATACCATGCGCAATAGGAGAGAGCTGCACATCCACTGTAAACAAATAGCTCAGAACAGATAGATTTCCACATTAATTTCTATAATAACGAAACAGATTCGACCCATTTATGATAGGACAAGAAGTCAAGACTTATTAAGTAGATTCAGGGAAAGTATGTATACATCCCTTATTTACGCTGCCTGGATCACTCTCCGCCTGATCCTTCCAACGGAGTGGAGGTCTTCCTCTGCATCGAATACTTTCAAAGCTGGAGTGCTTTCTTCCATATATTAGGACGGGTATGGTGAGCGATTTGTAGAGTTCGGTTTTCGTTCGCCGAGAGAGGGCTCAGTCCAAAGTAGCACCTCTTGGCAAGAATGATTTTACGTTAGATTTTAAGGCTGACATTATTGTTGGTTTTGATGCTGGTTCCCAGGCGGACGAAATTATCTACGACTTTAGAGCCAGAAATGTTTTTTTTCGTGTGTTTAGTGGGATTGGCAAGGAATCATCCATTATGAGCTGCTAACCTACGGCCAAAACCTTAATTCGAGCCTGTACTGGCAGCCATTGGACTGTCTGAGGGAAGCAATCGCCCAGAAGCGCCTAGCTGTGGCCAAAGGAAATAGCGTTTCATCAGGACAATGTCAGAAGCTTCGTAAGCTTGGTTGGGAGAATCCTAGGCATCCACCTTACAATCGGGACTTCACACCATTATTATCAACCATGATTACCAACTGTTCGTGTCTAAGACGAATGGCAGGGTTGGTGAAGAATAGATTATTCTAATTTTTGGCAATAGAGAGAAACACAAAGACATTAACTTCAAATTGCAAAAAGGTATCGAGCAAAACGGTGCTTATTTAACATAAATCGGAAAGTTTTAATTATGGGAAATAAAGCCTTCAATTTGATCGGAAAAGGAGAGATTAATATTCACTAAACCAATATGCATAACTCGGAATAATATGTTTTTTTTTCAATTTTCTATGAATAATATCCTGCCAACAACAGTAAATTACGAACTGAATCAGTGAAATGCGATTGAATCACTCAATAATTCCACGTAAATGATATTAAAAATGTAAAGCAAATTGGATATCCTGTCAATTAAAATCGGACACGGCATATCGATTACGCAGCACCACAATACAAACAACAAACATTTAAACACCTAATATATATGTATGTATGAATTGCATGACAAGTTCATTAGCGCTGGCAAAAAGAGTAAATCTGAAATGAATGACGGCTGTCGACAATTCGGTGAATTGCACCGACAAATACAAATAAATATCTTCATGCATTCGTATATATACAAATATACTCGTATATATGTACATAGTATGTTTGCAAAAACACGTAAATATGTTTGTATGTATGTCTGTAACTAAATTATTTTCTTACTCTTATTGTGAAAAAACATATGGAAAAATTAAATCAGCGCGAAAATATTGGAGACGGCATAGACAAAAACACAAAAAATGCAACGAAAGAAGTAACAAAAAGAGAGAAAAAATCAAACTTAATTTAAAAATATTGCATTGAATTTCTATGTGAGTCAGCGAATGATGAAATAGATTATTATTATTGTTATTATTTATTATTATTTATTATTATTTATTATTATTATTATTATAACAGGCCTGGCTGCCTGCTGGCCGAAAAATTTTTGGCCGAATTGATCATGTTGTACTAGTACTAAACGGATGATGTTTTTCCGATGTTCTAGACATGCGTGTGTGCCGAGATCCCAACACAGACTCAAAATACTTGTTTTTGAAAACTCCAACGGACTCAAGAATTTACCCGCGTTAAGACATCTTTGTCGAAGGAGGCGACTATACCCAATTGTTTTCGCGACAATCGGTTCTTTATAGCGGAACGACTCAGATTTTTATTAGGCCAAAGACTGTCACTCCCCCTAATATTCACCAACAACCGATTTCGGCAACTTTTTGCGATTACTACAATACAACAACTTCGGTTACTTGTTTCTGGGAAGCAAGGCAGGTTGGCTGTCGTGCAGCTGCAATCAAGCCAGACAGCGAAACGATGGTTTTTTGTTCGGCTTGAACTCCTGCTCTCTGAGAGCACTAAGAGCTCTCATCAACAACTCTGTACAAGAGAACTATGCGATGGCATTCAAGCTCTCTACGTACAATGGTTAGTGAAACTTTTGGAGAGAAAAATGCCTACCTACTTTATAAGGTTGCGAAGAATCACGTGCGCGGTGAGTTAGATGCTGGGAGCTGAAGAGGGAACGAGACACATTTACATAAAAAAGCAACAGAAAACACAATAAAAGAGAGTAACAGAAAAAATATCACGACGTTCAAAAGAATTCTACTTACATATGAGAAAATCAAGGTGATCTAATGAGCAATGTTCAGAGCATAGTTATTCCTTTGCAGCCCATCGATGATGAAAGAATAGTTGCTACATTATCCGTCCATT